AAAACGGGCGAAAATAAACCCCATTTTCCATTAAAATAAAAAAAAACAATCATTAATTTTTGAAGATGGTATATGGTTATTTATGAAACTTTGGTATGCGGCTCGGACCGACAGGGCTACATTTAGGCGAAGAATAAATGTTTAGTGACGCGTAGTTCATTTTTGCTGTGAAAATTACTCAATATTTTGGAGAACAAGAAGTGTATTTCAATGAGCAAATATATTAAAACAAACTTTTAAACATATTTTCTAACATATATTTTGTGATTTACCTCGTCTTTTATTAGTAACAACGTATTAATGTGTTCTTTTAAAAACTATGAATACAGAATATAGTATTTTGTGTGTATTACTGTAAATAAAACTTGAAACTGATCAGTAGTGCGTTTTGACAGCGCCCTCGCATAGGTGATATTCTGAACAATATTGGGGCATTGATATTGATAATTAGTTCAAATTAATACTAACACGTAAGGTTTGAAGTACCGGAAATAGTACTCAATAAGAAGAGTTATTTTACTCCTCAACAAACCTTGCCGTTTTCTCGCGCACATTTACTCGATTCAAGTTTATTTCCAGTTAAGTACACAAAATGCTGAATATTTTATTTATTTTTAATGTTAGATGCACGATAATTACCTTGTTATTGTTAAAAAATGAACCAAATGCATATAACAAATTTTATTTAGTACATAAAACATCGAAATTATACACAAAAAACACATTTAAGCGTTTAGGCGATATTGTGACGGGTGGTGACCAAAAACAATAAATAGACAGGAAGAAATAAACGTTTAATGTGGCGAACTTGTACCAAAAATAAAAGGGTACAAAATATAAAAACAGAGCGTCGCGGGCGTCGAAGTCGGCGTAGCAGCAGAGTCGAATGTTGGGGCAAAAAACGACTGCAAATCAGCACGCGGAGTCCCTTATGTACGCGTGTTGGGTTCTGGAACAATCGACCTAGATTGTTCGGCGACTGGAACATTCGGAACTCTATCATACGAGAATGTTCTCAAACACACGAGAACGCAATGTTGAAAGAACAAATAAAAGAGCATTCCACTGACTGGAATCGAACCCAGACTTTCCGCGCGACAGTCAAGCACTGTAACCACTCGGCCACGCACGCGGTCGCTCGCCGACGAGCGTGTCAATATAAAGGTAATTAAACTGTATTAAATCGGCCGGACTTAAGAACTTGCAAAACTTTGCCGAAAATCATAGGCAGGAGATTATCAGACAGTTTGTTTTATTGCTGAAAAGTAAATATTTTTGTCGCATTTTGAGTAATAAAGTCTATTTTTAAATTGTCACAGAAGAGCCCTACTGCAACTGCTTGAGAAGTGGAAAAAAAAGCGAGCTGTGAAGCATCCATTATAAAGAAAAGTGGAACAAACGTCACAACTGGCTTCGGCCGCTTCACTGGTAAATAACTTGTAAACAGAAGAAAAAATCCGCCAAGCTTGCCGTTTGCGTTCTGTCATTGCAAGAATTGAGCCAAAATTTATATATTTTTGTAAAAATCAAAATATCGGCCCCAGAACAAAGCCTGATTGGATGAAAACACCTAAGTACATTTTACGCTTTGATTAATTGCCTATTGATTGATTGATTGATTGATTGATTGATTAATTGTTTGGTTGGATTTATTTATTTGTTTAAATAACTTCAGAGCCCTGGAGTCAGGGTATTACAGAAGGAAGTAGGTTTCCAGAATTCGTGCAGGCCCCGTTCCAGTCCACTGATGTCTCCGGAGAAAACTGATTTAAAGAATGCTTTATGTCGGGTAAAAACTACGGCAACTTTGCAGGTGTATCAACATAATCGGATATGTAATGAGGTGTCCAATATAAATTAGCTATGTGGGTGGCCATCGTAATAAAACCTGTGAAAAAGACAGAGTTTAGCACTACGGCTGCATGACCATAAATGAGTCAAAGATAAGTTTTGTTTAGGTTCAGTGACGGAAGCAAATCTGGAGCACTGAAACATTATAAAGCGAGCTGCACAATTCTGAAGGGATTTTATATGAGATTCAAGTTATTTAAAATGAGGGTCCCACACTCATTATGCATATTCTAATACGTACAAACGTGACGTATGCGAGGCGTTTGACAAATGAGGACGCGGGACTAAGATCACGACATAGAAAACCAAGAGTGCGTTTTAATCGGGATTGATGACGTTAGTATAGGTTTCCAGAAAAGGTCGAGTTTGAAGTGAAAGAAAATATATTTGCGAATCGAGACGGAATATAAGCTGAGGTTACCAATACAATAGAAAGCATGACAATGTTGGTGAATTAAAAAAAATGAGAAGGATTTAGATTTGAAAATATTTAAGATCATTTGCCAGTTTAAACACCATGCTTAAATTCCGCCAAGATATGTCTGAGGATTAAATAGGTCACTTGTGTTATCTATGGGTCTGTAGATCACGCAGTCATTGGCAAACAGGCGGACCTTGGAGAGTAGCGAAAGGGAGCGATATATTAATGTAAGCAAGAAAACGCAGGGGTCAAAGAACAGATTCCTGTGGTATGCCAGTGTTTACAGGTGCGCTTCGGGAACGGCAGTGTTCTAAGTGAACATCCTGGGTTCGATAGGAGGGGGCATTTTCAATCCATGTTAAAGCATAATATCCATTCGAAAGGGCGGACAGTTTTTTTTAATAGAAGTTTATGAGATACAAGATCGAAAGTTTTGGAAAAATCGAGAACGATGGCATAAACCTGAGGAGGGGTTTCTAGGGAATTATGAATGTCATGGCTAAACGTTGAAGGCTGTTTTTCGCAGGAAGGATGCTTTCTGAAGCCATGTTGAATAGGAAAAAAAATTATATTGTTCTAGAAATTGAGTAACTTGGAAATGAATGACATGTTTCATGAATTTACAACAAACAAAACTGAATTATATGAGTCGGTAATTTAGATGGGAGTGCGCATCGCCCCCTTTGTGAACCGGAACGACCTCATCTTCCTTGCAGTCGTCAAGAATAGCACAATAATCTAAGGTCTGTTGGAACAAAAAGGTTAGAAAAACAGTTGTCACTGGTTTAGTACTCTTTAGTAGTTTACTGTTTATGTCGTCAGCTTCTGGTGATGATGGTATCTTAAATGTAATGATCAACTTGCTAATGCCGTCTTCCGCAAAAGGAATTTGATGCATTTGTGAAAATGACATGGTTACAGCATCTGGCAATGATGTGGCGACGCTACTGTTAAACACAGCCGAGGATGCATCACAAAAATGTTCAACAGCGTCATCATGAGGGAGATCGATTCCGTTGTCATTTATCAAAGAAACCGGTTTGCCATAATGGTGATTTATTATTTTCCGAAATTCCTGAGGGTACACTTTTAAGAGTAGCAACAAACGCGCTCTGGTAAAATTGTGTTTTAGCTTTCGCGACAGTTGACTTGCGCAGTGCAAAGGTCTCCGAGATACAGGACCGAGCCGGATCGGTGTTTAGACGTCGGGCACGTCGATACAATATTTTTTTTTTCCGGTTACAAAGCGTTCTACGCACTCGGGTGTACCAGGGTGCTGACTCGTTCTCCCGGAACTGTATTAGTAGTATACTTGTTTGCAAGCAGCCGCGGCAAGCCTTTCGATAAAACGTCGCATGCTGACGAAACGATCTGTCAATGGTATGACGCTCGACGAACTCCTTGCCGCCATTCAATGTACTCGACGTGTTTGCTTTAGCTTTCTTAAGGCGAAACCCGACCCCATGGCCTCCCAGAGTTTTCGAGCGCTCTGCTCCGGCCATTCCAAACGCTCGACTGCCCAACAGAAAAAGCGAGCAAAATCTCCGTATGCGGCGCTTATAACCAAACAAGACACTAAGATAGAATCGCCTCAGAGCACGCTGTCAGGTGTGACCCCGTGGCAAAAAGTTGGAATTTTTATATTTCTTATCATCAGAATAGAGGCAGGTAAGTCGACCTCTGTTGAGTCGGAATTATTATTCGCTGTTCTATTGTTTGCGCTGTTTCGCTAGACGATACCTCAGAATGCAAGATTTAGTGCGAATATATATTTGTCTTCTCAGGACAGTGTCTGGGCCGGCGGGACAGGCATAGAACTATTAATGTCGTCATGCATTAGAGCAGCTTTCGGAACTTCACTGACGTGAACAGGGATTTGTTCCCCACCTTTTGCGCTTTGAAAACATGAACCTTCAAATCTCGATCAACTTTTTTCTTGCCAAAGGTCTTTGTTTTGCGGCGAGAAGCGGGAAGCACAACTCGCTCTGCTCCTGTACTCCATCTCACAAATGTCTGCGGTGAAGACAAAGGCACAGGCGCGTGGTCCTTGCTCAGCCGAATGCTTCTATTTGAACGAGAACTCGTCCGCAGGAAGCATTTTTGAAACGCCACGCGCTCTTGCCCTTGCCTTTCTCTGCACTACAGATGTTTGTGAGATGTAGTGTAAGTTCCGTTGACTCAAAATAATGGTGATGATGATTATTCTCGGCTATTTATTTGTAACATTTGGTTGGTGACCAGCGCAGCCAAAGGCCCCGAAGTGACAATCCCTACCTGCGAATGCAACGGCCTGAGGAGCGCAGCCAGCGCGCGAAACATCTCGGAGGCTATGCTCAACTTTGGTTAATGTGATACGTAACCAACAGATGGCAATGGGATGACCATCCAGATCTTTACATTTATGAAACAAATTGTGCATAGTGGCACTCCTATACAGTGCGGCATTTCTCTATGTCCTAAAATGGACACCCCTGGTCTTTAATTTGTTTCTCTCTCCACAAGCTTTCTGTGGAACGCGCCTCCGCTGCACCAGTTCAAGAGCAAAGGGAGCAGCAGTCTACGCCACGAGCTCATGTGGTCAGAACAAAACGCACAAATTCGTCCTGAGCTATTGGCGAGTCACAGTTTCGACAAAACAACTGACGCGATTTCTTTAAAGCTAGCGGTGACTTTAGAGCATTTTGTGTTTTGGTTGCAAGACACGGTGAAACAAAGATGTCAGTTTAACCTTTCTGGGTGTTAGTCTTACTCCGACCTTTGGGAAGACTGTGGCTCCGCCCTCCTCGACGTCAGTCATCTGTAAAAAATAAATTGCAGAATCGTGGTAAGCTGGGCGAATTGGAGTGACAACATAGTGAAGAGAACGGCGCTTTTCTCTGTCCTTGTCCTTGTCCTTTTTTCTCTGTGCGCAGTTCTGTTCACTATGTAACCAATACGCGCAGATGTTCGCACTCCGTTGGATAGGTTAAAATAATGGTGTGAGATATTGTGAGATCAGCCGTGATTTAGTAAGTGCCGCTGCTGATCTGCTTTTGCCACTGAATTTAAATCCCCGGTTTCACGGGCGAAGGCATTCAGAGTGAAAACCTTTAAGATTCATACCTACCTTTCTGGTCTTTTGTATCCGAACGGTATTTTCGACCTGTATTTGCGTGATGTCAATTCAAATTCCTCGAATAAAGGAGGATCTCTAATCGTCGCACCCCTGTCGGCTAACCTGAGAACTAAAAACCCTATGGAGACAACAACTCGAATTATTTGTCATGTAGCGACTTGCCCCTTACCTGAGGCCCACACTTCTCCTGGCTTCCCCCGTTTTCCTTTACCCCAAAATAAACCATAAATTATTTGTTCGTGTTTCTCATGGAGCGCTCGGCTTATGTTGCTGAACACTGAATCAGACTTCTTCTAAGGCATGTGTATAATCAGTAATTAAAGCACCAATTGAGTACCAATACCAGCAAAACTTTGACACAGCACTCATGTGTAGATTCTAAAAAAAAAATTCGGGTCGTAAAAAAACTTGTAGGCCTGGATCACACTGCTTATACTTCATACAAACGTCACTCTGCACGCAGATTCATACGGGAGTAACCGCGAGATCCGTGCTTCGAATGCCGCTTGGCAATGATCGAGCCCTATGAGAAAACGTGGCACGCGGCATTCGATCCATGCATATTGCCGTGACTCGCGTTTGCAGACTGCGATTTGTACAATGTGCGAGCAGTGTGACCCCGGCGTTAGTGGTTTTTCGGCTAGTTCATATTTTTCACCCAAAAAATGTCTTCTAAGCATCCCCTAAAAGGGCTCTTTGTGAAGAAAAGAAAGATATAAGGGGTTCTTTTAAATGGCATGTCCGGTGATATCCTGAAGTTAGTGAGATTTTTCGCTAGTTTCTAGAGAGGGCCTAAATACAGTCAGATGATATATTAACTTCATTAAATTATGCCCCGATATTCGGTCACTGAATTATAAACATGAATACGAAACTTCACGCCAAAGTTCATAAGAATGAATGGCTGGTCGTGCCGTGACGTCACATCAAGCATCGTAACGTCTGAGGCACGGGCGTTGAATTATTCCCGGTATTGATCAACATGGTTGATGGTGCGAGCAAAGATCATTGTCGAAGCACTGAGCTTCCCTCAATACCGTAAATCCTGCCTTTCTAAGAACGAAGATATTTTACTGATACAGAAGTCAAGAGCTGTCCTGGCTCTCATTGGATGATGTTACGTCAGAGCTTGCGCTGCTGCCAACGAAAACGTCGTGCGTTTTCCGGTTACAATCTAAGAAGTTGAACTTTGTTTAAAATTTAATTACTTGTGCGGGGGAGGATTAAAAATTCGGATATTGTGCGGTTGAAATTCATGAAAGCAATGACTATAAATTTAATCGTTTGCTGAAAGATAGCATTTTAGCGGACAAATTATTTAAGCTCATTTTTGTATACGATAGAGTTCTTCAACGCCCGGTTGCCTTTCTAGTGCGCCAGGGGACGATAGTGTGTAAGACGAAACCGTTATTCACGAGCTGTAAGTGTTCCTTGGGGGCGTCAAATAACCTTTCAAGAATAGATTTTATCAGGCTGGTTTTCTGAAATACGCGCTTGATCAAAGAAGAAGACGAAAATATTTCAGTCCACAGGCTTTGCATTCGGTAAACATCGAGTGCCATGGAAAACAAGCTGGAAAAGGTGCCCTTTACAGTTTGATCTTCTCGCCAATAGATAACAATAAAAAAAATTGATAAGACGAAAAAAAAAAGCCTTAATGACAACACTGCGGCCAGCCGTGGCGTCGCAGAAAAACAAGTCGCTCACACCTTATACGCAGCCGACAGCGAGCGATAAGCCGACTGTGAAATGGCAGCTTCCACATCTCCACGAAAGGAACAAAGTTGTCTTTTCCGTATGTCTAGCCATCGGCAAGTTAGTCAGCCCCAGGGTGTAAGATAGACAGGTGGGGAAACGGCCCATAGATGTCGTAAATCGGGTACCCCCGATTTACGACAAATGGCGCTGCGGCGAGAGGAAAAAAATTGGAATCGAATTTGCGTGGAACGTTATGGGAGAATACGCAAAATAAACTAAGAGCACGACATTCCTTTATTGAAAATCCACGAGAAATCATCTCCGTGAGTTTAGCCGGTCGCCGCCGGTCGCCCACCCGGAGTGAGAGTTCGCGGTGCTCCACATAGATGGCGCCAAAGAAAAAGAGAAACCCGAGGGGGACACAATCCGGTCGCTCATTTGGCTCTCGTTTCCCCACCTGTCTATCTTACACCCTGGTCATCCTCAACATTACTAGACGGGGTCAGTTTGGAAACTCGCATCTAAATGTGTCCCCATTTCATAGAGCGCGAGAGAGATGGAGCTGTACTCGCCCTAGAATCGACTCTCGGCGGTGTCTCGGTGTCCTCGTTGTTCCTCGTGTTTTCCTCGTCTCATCGGTGGCTTGTCGTTGGCACGTAAGTGTTCGTTTCTAGTACCGAGAACTTTGAGTCGTTCTCCAATAAATCAGAACGCATGGCGGACTGCCGCTCTCCCGACAATCGCGGCGGGTACTCCTCACAGACATCCAAAAGTAAAGCGCTGGATATCTTGACTTATCCAAGTAACGCCATCGTTTGATTGTGCCACGGGCGCACCTATTGCATGCCAGCGACGCGTGGATGTTTTTGGCTCACGGTGCTTTATACATCCAGAAGCGCAGGCGCCTATTAATGTGCTGTGGCTAACCGTTGATGCGCCGCCGTTTGCGAGCATGCTCCTATTGGTCTACTGTGGATGCCGGCGCCGCGCCGCCGCACCAAACTAGATTGGCGGCGACGCTCCGAGATTTTTTGGCTCAAGCGCGTCAGAGCATGCACCAGCTTGGCGGTACTCGTTCATAAAATTCAAATTCATCCAGCGCGTTATCCAACAGTGACAAGAAGCGCCACTTATTTGCCGTTCCGAAGGGCGCAGTGCGCCTGAAGGTTTGGCAGAACGCAATCCCTAGGAAAATGTTCACGCTAACGCAAAAAAAAGTAAAAAAAAAACAAAAAAAAAACGTTATATAAATATATGTTGTCGATTTGCATTTTTAGCTCGACGGAAATAATTTTCATTGCTCGCATGTCATCAATGGCCAGGCGGTTTTGATGGCCAGGGACCGATGGTCATTAATTTAAAAAAATGCTGTAGCATGTGTGTTCCCGAAAGTCCCGGCACACCTCTTTGAAACCAACCACGAAGACCAGCCAACGAAAAAGCGTTGCTCAGGCTAAGTAAGTTATTTAGAAAAGAAAGGCCATGTAAGCTTACTGACATAAGCTCCGGTTTATGCATACACAAGGCAAACAGTAAAGAATCTAGTTTTTTATGGTAGTGTCCTTACTCGAGGGGTCTCATGTAGAGACTTCGCATGTCTACTCGTGTAAGAAGTTTGTAAATTCTTTTGTTTGTGAATGCATTAAAATTTTGTTAAGACTACTTGAAATGGACCTGGTTTGTGAATCGTTAAAATATTGCGTTACTACAGTGACTTCGAGAGGACTGTGCTGAGAGCGTATCGTTCTTTGCACAATCCTCTCGAAACTGCAATTTCTAAAAGAGGCGGATTTACATCTTGAGACCATGCAGTTGATCCTTTCAGAACTGGTGCACGATAGCGGAGGATTCGCAGCGGATCTGGTGGAGCGTTTCACGCTGCACGGAGGGGAGAACCGATTTTAAGCCTCAAGGTGACGTCAGCGCCTCTGTTTCGCCAGCTTTCGCAGCGGTCCGCGCTTTTTCGGCGAATGCCGCTCGAGGTCCAAAACTGACCCTACTCTAGTAACATTGGTCAGCCCCAGTGGGTGTCTGGTGTCTTTGCTGTAGTGAGAGATTTAGCCACTGCAGTACCACTCCACTGCTAGCCTTCATTCTTTAGCGTACACCACGAAGTATAGTAACACACGACCAGATGTCGGTAAGATGCTAATCAAGATTGAATGGGGCTCGTGTGGGGCTGAACCCTAGACCCCGGAGGTTCTGCAGTGCGAGGTTATGCGTCACCTGCTCCGAGCTGAGGTGCTTCATCACGCTCGGCTCCGATATCTCCATAGAACGAATAGGAAACGCCGAAAAAGACAAGTACTATGGACGTGCATTCTTTTTCTCGGAGTTTTTTTGTTGTATTTGAAATTCTTACATATTTACTTTACTTATCATGGGATAAGTTGTGCTCTCCAGAGCGATGTATACATTGCATTAAAACAATAAAAAAATCGTTTAATCCTGAATTGCAAACTAGATAATATTCTACGGGAAATACTGCTACCAAGCGTCCGAGATAAACAAAAAGAGGATCACTTACGTAGATCATAAGCGTGGCCACTCTGTCACCTGCTTTATGATGAACGTAATATTCGGACGTCTGAAAAAGTAACAACAAGTTGTCTCTTATGCTAACCCATGGTGAAGTTGAATGAAGATGGTGCGGCATTTTGTGCCCTGACAGAAGACGGCGAAATCGGGTAAAGTTATTACATCTTTGAAAACAACGTTTGTCTACAAATAGCGAGTGCTTCAAATAGTGAGTATCATGGATAGAAACGTATAATCAACCAATATTTGACACGCTGTGTCAGGAGCACGGTGCCTGGGCCGTGTCTTCGAGTGGTGTGTTCAGTGTCTTATCCGGCCCATACATCAAATAGTCTTGAAGTGTCCAGGAGTCCACGGAAGCCTGCCTCTCACGTGGTCGGATGTCGCAATCCTGGCAGATGACGCCAGAACTGCCGGCAAAAGGTACGAGTGAACGCATGTGTCGCTGACGTTACGGCGTCTCAATCCGTGGCGCTATTGAAGCTTCCGATGACTGTCAAGCAGAATAGGCGTCTGCGACGTACGCCCGTGAGCGATATGAAAGTAAACAGCCCTCTTCTAGTTTTTGACGCTCCTGCAAGTTTTGGAACAAGCTCTGTTCCAGAAGAGGCTAGAGCGCTAGGTTTAGACCCCCAAGCTACGCATTATTTGAGACGTTGAGAGTTAATTTAGCTTTAGGGAGCCGTAAAACAGGCAAGAAGCCATGTATGGTGTTCACCTTCATATCTCCGGCGCGTGTACGTGTGCACAACCACTGCTGTAACACTAGATCGCGTTCGGTGACAGGAGGACACCTATCCGAGGTCGCTATAGGCGGAAGTTAAGGGACTACTTTTTATGACGCGGTAAACACACCAGCAGAGACGCGTTCCAGGCACCAGTTTAGAAAATTTCTTACATGCACACATTAAAAGCACGCAACGGAAGACGTGCACACACACAAAAAAACACACACACACACAACCACAGATACAACTCTCTCAGTTAAAGGGACACTGCAATGAAAAACTATACATTTTTAACGCTTATTTCGGAACTTATTTTTTTCTTAATTTTTCCACAAAAAAAAAAGAAAATCCGCACAATATTTATGCGCTAGACGCAATTCAGCTGAGGGTCACGGCCCGCTCTAAGCCCCGCCCCCATATAAGCGGCCCCGCCCATTTCTACAGGATTGGCTTGGCTACTCGGCCGAACATGCTCGGAAGCCAATTGTCTCCCTTTCGCGGAATCCGGCGCGTCTAGTCTGGCGTCTGAAGCAGGGGACACATGAGCGGTGCTCCGCATGGCGCAGCACCTGGTGGTATGCGGCGATATTTGAGTTTACAAAACAGATGCGCGCAACATTCCGTCGCACGAAGCGCATAGTCGCTGGACCACCATTGGCACCGAACGTGGAGCGACTGGCAACACTTCGCTTTAAAACGCACTCTTCATGCCCTAAACGTAAATTAAGGTATTCAAATTAAAAATTAAAAAAAAAATTAAACCCGCCCATACGTCTTTGTGTTACCATTATGTTGCTATTAAAGTAATCATGCCAAAGAAAATATGAACGCCAAAGGCGTGTTCACAACACTGGCAACGCCGTGTTTGCTTTTCTTTTCTACCCGACCAAGCTGACATAAAAAAATGTATATATATATGTATAAATATAAACATATATATATCGAGATCATTTCAATTAATAATTGTGTAGACTCTATAAACATTAATTTAAAAACTTGAAAGCCACGTGTCCAACTCTGCTAAGACATCTGGAGGTGCACGGCGAGCAGACGCACGGCAGCCTCCGGCATCGTCTGCTATAACACCACCGTCTTTCGTCGTCTGCAATGCCCTTGAGACGCGGACACGAAAGCTGCGCGCCGGTGTCCGTTTTCGCCTTCGTACGTCTGCTATTCCGCTCCCGTAGTAAAAACCTCTCCAACGCTCGCGCGACGCTACTATGAAAGCGGCGTTCTAGCGCTCCATCCTGCACGAGTCACGGCCCAATACAAGCGCCTGTCAGCGTCTATCGCCGTGCGGTAAAAAGCGACCAAGAACACAAAAAACGCAAGAAAATTAATATTCAGTTATTTCAAATTTTATGTTCTTGTAATATTTTTCCCATGCATGACGCACAATCCAAACGTGACCTGAAAGTATACTCGCTTTGGCAGGTGAAGCGCCCTACTAGGCTTAAAAGCTACTTCCCGTCGTTTCGAAGCGATACGACAGGAACATACCCGGACTAACCTGATGTGAGACGAGCGTCCACGCGTCAATCAATTCCCCAACAGATAAGAGCCGAAAAATGGAGGGTAGTTAACTCGTTCCTGGGCCTAGGGCGGGCAACATCCATCTAAATTGCGCCTTACAGCGTAAATATTTATCCAACAAAATTGTTTTCTTCGTGAAAAAAAGAGGTGTCCCATCAAGACTTTTACTTTTATTTCAGTCTTTTCTCAAGAGATGTGCGGTCGGACTTTACATCCGACCGCGACCGGCGATACAAAGCACCATATGCAAAATATTTCGAACGTCAGGCAACACTCTTTGCGCCGCCATCTTTGTTGCATCGAGATTCCTCTGCCGTTTGTAACTTTCGTAGCGTTGTCGGTAACAACCGGGCCCGGGGCCTACTGCTCACCGTAATCGATTCTCACCCACACCGGCGAGCTACGGGTTAGTTTTGTTAGACGCTCTGCTTGCGCATGCACGTGTTCGTCGCCGCGCCGGTTGCTCGTTTCTCACCGCAACCGACATGGCGGACGTACACTTCAGCTAGAAATTTGGCCTCTAGTGGCACGTCCGCGGGCACTTGGTTTTCGAAAGCGCTTTCTCTGCGCGAGTGCTTGTGCGAGCGAAGGATTCTTTCAGAACTACGCTTTCGTACCCTGGCCTTTGCCGGCGCCGAAGCGAACTGGTGAGACGGAGCTTGTTCTTCGGCGTCACACCATAGATTGCGCTGTGCCATTTATGGTGTGACGCCGATTGATGGAGGCAATCAATCACAGTAAAAAGTGCATAGTCACGGCGCTCATCGCCTTTGTTTGTTTGCTCCTGTGGGCTAAACTATGCAGAGTAAATTCGGCTGGATCCTTGTTTTTTTGTTTTTCTTTTTGCGTGATTGGTGAAGTGGGTTGATAGTAAATCCACTAAGAGAACGAGTGCCGTGGCCATGAACTTTTGGCGCTGCTCGATTTCCTCCACCGGATTGTGGCGTACTTTGTGGGCGGAGTCAAAGTGAAGCGAAGTGTAGAAATATGACCGAAAGGAGCTTTGGACTACTTACATTGGCGAGCAATGCGTCTTGAAGGTAGTCGTTGTGCGGCAAGTACTGCCCTCCAATGCCGTAGTTGGCCAGCTGCCGTAGACACAAAGTGGGTCGAGTTAGAAAGCAAAAAGCTAAACCTTTAAAGCTTAGTGAAGTCTTATATCTTTAAAAGGTTTCTCCAGCAGTGGCAAGCAAAACAGTGTGCATCGCGAGTCCCTAAAAAATTAATACATTTCACGCTGAACGTTTTTTACGGATATTCAAAACTATAATCTTGAGTGTAACACCTGTCACAAGAGCGACCTTGAAAAGGAGCGAGTTTTTGATAGCTTTGTTTTTCGTTTTATGGCTATGTCGCTACGAGGGCTTTGTAAACGAACGCGAGATTCTTGCATCGTCAAAACATGTCGCTACTCCCAATGTAAACACGTAAATAAGTTATTTTTTGTTAAATGTAGTATCATAGTTCGTACTACAGAAACCATAGATGATCAAGTCAATGACAAATGACGCGATAAGTTAAACTGAAACCCTTTTTGCGCGTAAGTTAACACAATTATATTAAAAATATAGGCAACTTGTCATAGTAAGTGTATATGTGTGAACGTGTCCCAATATTCGTTGGTGCTTTGAAGCTTTTTTTGTGCTTGGTAGCTTACATGCTTTCCCCGGTCATACTCTGTGATCCACGAAGGTACGGCAGTAGCAAATAAACAAATGACGACCAAAGCTGCTGCACGGAAATCGACCTTGAACGCATTCACGTTCGAAATCGATTTCAAGCTTCATGACAGGGAATTTACGAACAGCACACAATTGCGTGGGTGGCAATGTTTAGCGCGCACATTGGAGTAAAAAGATCGTTGGAACCTCAAGCGCTATTTTTGTGAGGTCCCCTTTTAATGATTATCAACCACAGATTTTTGGCAGCCTGAGAAGTGGAGCAATGCTGTAAACCCTTTTGCAAAACGGCGCGCCATCTAGTAGCTTCAGCGTTAATTATCCGAATCCGCCATTGTTCTGGCACGCACTCTGAGCATGTGTGGGACACGAGTGATGACATCAGTGTTCGGCCAGGTGTCTGATCGAATTACGCGGTTCGTGATCAAGTAATGGCGGCCACTAATCTTTGCTTGATGAAGGTTAAAAAAAATAAGTCTATCGGCACTTTAACATACACACAACTAAAGCACGCGTCACCGGAGATTCCTTACTTCGTTTCACCGTAAGTCAGACCGTCGTCCAAACAACTAGAACACAAACTAACGCAGACACACAAACCAAAAACGTACGGTCACAGCGCATTCACAGCGCTCGCTTTTGTGATGTGCTGGTGGCACACGCAAAAAAACGACGAACATCGCGACGTTGCGCTTTTGTTGCAGCTTGATTGACTCTATCGGTTTGTAACGTTGCCTTCGTTCGGGCTCGTGGTGAAACAACGATAGGCATTGACAGCGTAAGGAACGCAGACCGTGGCGTATTATGTTCAAACTTCTTGTTTCGGGATTCTTTTTTATTCATTCTTATCGAGTGATGACGCAATCTCCTTGACTGAAGATTGATACTGAGAATCTCCTGACGAGAAGAGCCCCGCGTTTCTTGAACTCTCGGTTACTATACGGAGAGAAAGTCGTCCACGTGTTGCACTGGAGTTGCAGTGACGTCAGACTGACGGCGAGCTCTGACTGGCTTTGATGTTAGATACCTTGAGGCAACACCTCCTAGACAGCTTTCAAAGCCTGCGCGTCACGTGACATGACGTCACGTCCCGGAGGCCTGCACAGGTGCTGATTGGATCCGAGTGCCATGTCAGCCTTGGCGTGGGACTGTAATAGGAAACGAGTCCCACGGCGAACGCTGACGCGTGCACTCGCATCCAATCAGCGCCCGTGGTTGCCTCCGGGACGTGACGTCATGTCACGTGACGTGCAAACTCGAAAGCTATCTAGGAGGTTTTGCTTGAGGTCTACCCGCTATTTCTTCAATCAGCCAATAAGAACTCAGCGTCCTTACATCATCGCAACCCCTGTGCAAGAAGCCGACGAACTTGCGGCCGGCATAGAATTGAATCGAATAAAAAACGCTGCTGATATACTTGGTTTCATTTTAAGTCCAGACGCAGCCGACGCTACAGGGTAATTGAACCAATCAAGCAGCGTCAAAAGCACAAGTCACTAGGCCTTTTCTACTTTTGATTTATTCGGCAATTATAGAACACGTACAGAAGCACAACAAGCACCATGATTATGCGTTTCTGACAGTGTCTGATTGACCCCATCAGCTCGTGGCGTCGGCTGCGTCTTAACTAAAAGTGAAACGGAGTGAAGACCGTGGAAGCACCGGCTAGAAAATGAACAAATAAAGACAATGACAATCATTTTCAAATGACCTTCTTCACCTCTCTATATACGCTTGCCTTCGTGTCTATTTTCTTTTTACGTTAATCTATTAATTCCCTTTCGTAAATTTTTTTTTGAATTATTATTTACCCTTTAAGCTTGTTTTACGGAAAGCCCGTTCGCCATCACGAGGCTGAGCAACATTTTATTTCTTCACGCCGCAAAATTGCTTGCCATTTCCAAATGCCTTGGAGCGCCTAAAGCACACACCGAGCCGTCTCGTATAAAACGCAAAATGATCTTACCTGGTATGGCTCTGCATCCAAATTGGAGCCTGAGGCGCCCATACCTACGAGCGCCCGCAAATACCTATTCATTCTGTTTGCGATCGGTGCACTATCATCCCCCAGCCACGCTCTGTGAGAAAAGATGAAACAAAATGAAAACGTTTTTAAGCTCGGGGAATGTTTAAGGTTGCATTAGGTGCAGTCTTAAATTTCAAACTCGCACTCTTTTCTGCTTAAAAGGCCTTACAGTTTTCAGTGTCCGGCTCCACGGCCAGCTTAAATAAACGCAGGAAGTGGCCAAATCCCGAGCATATTATAATACCTCCGCAGCCAATCAGCTTGTAGCATATGCCAAAAGAGCGCCGAGGAACCAATGTCGAGGCAAGAAAAGGGAATACGATAAGCTGGGCCCCATTGTATCTTAAAGCTTTCTGTGACAATAGGAGGCAATGTGCGCAGAAATAGTATGAATAGGAAGTATTCACTGGACGGCCATATTTGTGGGTGCTGTTTAGAGCGCATGCTCAGCACGAGCTCACATCACTAGTCTGCTAAGACCGGCACTGTCGATGGTGCGGATTGCACGTTGCAAAAGAACTGTGGAAGCTCGCCATCAGCACGCGCTCAGCATTCGCGCACACAGATATGGCCGCCGGTGAATACTCCCTATATAATACACTCCACACAAGCCGGCGGATTTATGTTGTTTGTCTTTTTGCATTAAAAAACTCCATATTAACGACTAAAATGTACGCGCTCTCTAGTTTCTCGTGCATCTAATCTATTTCACTGACTAAATTTTATTTTATGTTTACATATCTTAGAACGTAAAACTTGGAGAGGTTAGACAGACAATGTTTCACATCCTTCGTGTATAGGTACAACGTTCACAGCTTAGTCAAGTCACCCTCGGTGCTTGAGCCATTGGCCCTGAAGTTGTATATTAAAAACAAAACATGCAAAAAACGGTTAGCAGACCGATATGCTGATTTGACATCATTTATGACAAAAGCTAGAAACACCTGGTACTATCACTATGTCGAAAATTATTTGGCGTCAAAAGAAAAAAAAAGTCTGAGCGAAACGTGATTTTAATTAGATGAAGTTAGTATGTACCCTTTACCTTGAAGCATCGCGTTAGATCGGTGTCTCGTGATTTTGAGCATATCTGGCAATCAGAGATTTGTCAGGTAAGACGCTCACTGCTTACCGAGCCACCCCACCACTGTATTAAAACATGTTCAAAATATTGCACATTGCGCTGATGAGTTAACGTAAACGAACGATTGCCACATAGTATTTTTTATAGCTTTTGAAAGTAAGAAGGCTTTTATTGAAACCATTAGAGTGGCGGTAAGGGCTCAATCGGGACAACAACGAGTTACAAGTCACCACTTAGTGCGGATCAACACCCTGCGCAAGTAAAACGCAATCGAATAAAAAATACGGCAGTGCAATATTTGAAATAAAATCTACGGCGTACGACTGAGCGTTGTCTGAATCCTAATTGACATTAGCCGACCTTTGGCTGACACAAATAAGGAAACAACTCGGAAGTGTAGCAGCGGATTACCGAGCCAGACTGGAGACGGAGAATGCAAGACACCAAAGAGTGACTTGGTTTTCTATAAAAATTCAGAACCTATGCGCCGAGAAAGAGAGGAAGAGGAGGAGACGAGAGCTCGCGGGGGCGTCGGAACGCCGAGCTCTCATTGGAAGGATTAGTGGGTAGACCTAAAGCTATGGCTGCCTTTCTCTCCACTGGACTCTCTGAGCGCGTTAGAACACAAAACGCCGGCGTCCGCGTGTTTGATCTTCGCATCTAAACGCCTACGACGAGTGGAGTGGAGACAAAGGTACTGTGGTATTGTTGCATACTGTGAGTAATCGTATCGAATTAATTTTTCTACCTATGTGTAGCCCACAAGCCTCAATTGACTTGGACGGTCCCGTATTCGCATTTTGTTTATGAAGTCGCGTTGAATAAGATTATTAGTATTATATTATTTTGTGTTGAGGACTTTTGATTCACTGTTTGACTCATGAAGAGCAGCACGCTCATCAAGGGGGTGTTAATCATATAAGCCCTGTAGTCAGTGACAGGGTGAGAGTTCAGGATACCCTCCTCATTTCCCTTTCCACCTTAGTGCAGCGAACGCTGGAGAGGACGTCGCCCGTCTCTTCTGCAGCGTTCACTGTGATAAAGTGGAAAGGGATGGGAGGAGTTCTCCCCGAACTCTTAGCCTATCACTTATGATAGATGGCTTTGGAAGACGGGTGTCTGTACCGATTTCGTGTATTCGTGCAATTAATGTTATCATTAATACTTTTATATTAATTATTATTAATATTGTTATCATCCAAGTTAGGATCATGTCAATATTACTGTGAGCTGGTTCGCACTGGGCTCGGCACCTTGTCAATGGTGTACGTCATGGATCGTTGCAGCTGTAACGAAAAAGAGAAAAAAAAAATGGGCGTACGAAGTAGTGCGTACAAGAACCATAAGACGAGATGTTTGCCTGTATGGTTGTGTAGCTCTACAACAACATTTCACTTGCGTAACACAAATAACTAAAATACGTTTCTACTTACACTTTGTCGTAAAAAAAAGTAGTTTATAAGATTTCCATTTTCCCCCTACAACTTTTCGTTTTATTTTTGAACTGACTACAAACGAAACCCATCAACCCATCACACACACGCACGCACGCATGCACGCACGCACGCATGCACGCATGCACGCATGCACGCATGCACGCATGCACGCACGCACGCACGCACGCACGCACGCACGCACGTACACACACACACACACACACACACACGCACGCACACATACACACACAGGTAGCATGCTAGATAAACGCCGAACTTGACACAAGCCTGGCACTTATAGAAGCTTAGCTTGGACTTAAAACGGTTGTGCTCCAAGACCTTAGTTAACACCGGAGTACTTTGGCGGTATTATGGCGTTTTATCTGGCTCACTACATGATTGCCAAATTGCAAGACTTGAGCCAATGATGCCACATATGAACTGAAGAATTTAAAGTGAAGTCTAAACCTAGTCCTCGTTTCTCAATTAAGGAACACAGTTGCCACGTGAAAACCGAACATTAAAAAAGTGAAGCAGAACGCTGGCACATGATCGTTTGGAAATTTCGGTTCAAAGATGCAAGATGACAGCCAAACCATTAGCAGTGAAACCTAACTTTGGCACTTGTATGGAGTCTTGGTTAGTGTCTCGATTCTGTAAGTTGTTACTTTTTTTTTTGCTAACTTGTAACTGTAACTTGATACATTTTGAAATAAATGTTGTGATAACCTAAATACCTTTTTGAAGAAAAGTAGCGGAGCAGTGGCTGTAGAAATGCAGATATTTTTCGCAAAAAAATTACCCTATTTTGTGTGCACTACAACGGGTTCCACCGTGCGCGGAGTACTCCAATAAAACAAGGAAAGAGAAGAGAAGCACACAGGACAGGGCGTACACGCCCTGTCCTGTGTGCGTCTCTTCGTTGTCCTCGTTTCTTTGGGGGGGGGGGGGGGGGCCTGTTTCCTATCATCTATCCAAAACAACTAGCCCAACTCGCAGTCTTCATACGTGTACAAAGGTTGGGCCTTTTTTGTACGCGACAAAATGAAGCAAGAACTCAAAACATTTTTTTTTGTCTGAGCAAAGTGCCGGCGCAGAGGGCAGGCGTTTTTCTATTTCTTCATCGCGCGGAGAAGAGCATTTAGCATTTGGTTTATTTAAACGTTTTGCGTGGCTCTCTCGCCCCGCCTTCATCCTTTCCGTCTTCATCAAACACCCACGCCTCTTCAGCAAACCGACAGAGCCACCTCGCGGAAACACTATGCGCGTAGACACCTGGTGAGCTGTCTAAAGCCTAACGAGAGCACCTTTCGTCGGTGCCGCAGCAGTAGCGGCGACAGGTTTCTTTGCGAAAGCGAGTCGCCGCCAGTACACTGTCCGACCGGTCGCACAGACCATGTATCTACTGGTCCACATGCCCTTTCCCAGATGCCGTAAGCCAGTGATCCACGGCCGAATTTTTTGTTCTGCGTTGCATAGAAAAAAAAAAAAAAGAGCCACCGGACCGAATTTTGAGACGATTTTGTGTTGTTTTCGTTCACTCCTTTCTTTACCTTGTTTGATACTAAAGCTTTTTTTTTCAATTTATTCTGTTCCAATTGATTTAGCCTTCTGCACCCCTCCCTAATATTGGAATGGACCCGACTATTCATCATTATGCCCTCTCCTGTCAGCTGAAAGAGTGGAATAAGACAGCTCTTTAGAGAAAGAGTAAGGGAGAGGGAACGTCACAAGAAAGAAGGAAAATAGTTGGGTGATAATTAACCGTTATAGCTCAAACGATAAGCTGTCATGAGGGACGAACGGCAAGTGTTACCGTGGCCCGTCTATGAACTGCGCTTTAACCTTGTCGAACATAGTGGCGCTAACTTCACTGCTCACTGTAAATACCCCCCAAAATAAGCCGGAGATCCCCTACCTTCAACATTCGCAAGACTCTTGGGGTGCGTTTCGATTTTCATTCCTGGGCACTACCGCTGGGCACGGAGACGGAAAGATAGAAGGCTGAAACCTCGACAGCGCTTTCTAGCCTCAACAACTTTCCCACCATTAGGAAATATTTTTTAAGGCTTGAATGTTTTGTTTAGCGCCCCCGTTGAGCGCCTCTTTAGCAAGGGATGTGTTTGGCATCAAAGGGGAAAAATAAGTGATATTTGAAAAGTGGTTGGCAGCTGCGTTACCAGCACGAATTAAATAATTTATTATTTACTCCGTCTTGTATTAAAAAAGCAAAATCTTTGATTGAACAAAGTCGTGCCATGGTAATATATATCTCAATAAGTGAAATGAAAATATTTTTAAAGTTCCAAATAAGCATAAATTGTAGTCAATGTGTGTTGTCGTCAATATCTTCATAGTTCAATCAAAAAAAAGTATATTGAAAGTAACTAAGATAACTATGACAAAGTAACTCTAACTGTAACGCGTTACATTTATTTTTAAGTAATTGTAACTGTAACCTAAATACATTTTGATAAACTATCTAGAACTATATTTAATTATTCTTTTAAATGTAACTTACCTAAAACTGCTTGTATGGCAGATCAGGGCAAACATACCCATGAGCAAACAGGGTCAAGTTAGTCTATCTTTTCTTCTTTTGACATTTAAGGCCCTAAATTTCCAGAGAAAAGCCCAATTTTGTCCCAGAGAACTGTGCTATATGGGTGTTGATTAGCGAAAACTTATTTTTGTATTTAGAGCAGAGAGCGGTTCCACACTTCAAACCTCAGTGTCACCGTAACCGTGTGATCATACGAGCCGCGCCACAACGCTGCATTCGCGGTCCCGATCTACTCTCGCCCTTCTAGCCCTCATGATACACTCTTTCCCACCCGGCGAAGGTATGGTGGGCTAGAAGGGAAGGTGTGACAATCACGCGGGCTAGAACTGCACCTCGATTCAAGTCAGCTTGCAGAGTGGAGCATAGTCTGTATGCGGAAAGCCGAGTCGCTTCGCACTCCAGGGATAAAAGAGATGATGCTAACAAAAATGAACGCATTTAAAAATTGTTATCATCTTAAGCCTGCGAGATCGTCACACCAAGCTGGCAACAATCAGGCTTGCCCAATGTTTACTATATAAAAACAAATGAGACCAACGTGGCAGCCCATTGCCACTTGAAATCCTGTGATGTCAAACGGCGCACCCGGTGTGTCATATCAAGAACACTTGACCCACGTGAAAAAAAAGGAACTTCGGGAACCCTAACCACCAGCTTCCTAGTTTACAGCATCTTAAACTTCGACCCCATGAACTGTGAACATGGATGTCGCCTTTGGCTTGAGAGAAAGTGGTGCGAAATCTAGAATTGCCGACTAGACTTCCGCAGCGAATTGCCAAACAGGCTAGAGCAATCGGGACCAATGGAATATGCAAAAAAATCAATAAAATAAAAAAAAAACTCGAAGTGGTCGTTACATGCTTAAACAGCGTGATGTTAGTCGGGCAGAGTTTTTGGCGACATTGTTACACGCTGTAGATGAGAAGCTTTGTCAGTGCAGTACAACTGCAAGCCTGGAGTGAACTCCTTAAATTACACTGTAGTGATACTCAACAGAACCAGAGTACGATGCGCATCCATACTGTAATGGGCAGGCGTGTGGATTGGACGCAAGATCCCTATATCTTTTTAACCATCCCGAATACCAATGACAGCGCCGCAAGTTTGGACTGCACTGAAAATCAAAACATCAATTTCGGCAGAAACATATATAAAAACCTTTGGTAAATAGGGAGCAAATTATGTGTTTCTGTGTTTCCTTTTTTAAGAAAGTATAAGGAAGGGGTTTTTCTTGCCCGTGGTTCGGCGAAAGCTATCATGTCTTTGATGTCTCTGTCTTGAACGACATTATGCATCACGATGATGTAAGGCTTGAGGTTGACTTCTTCTAGCTTGACCGGCTGTAGTGCAAAGAAGCCATCTTGGCCCTTGTAGTATCGACACCTCAGCTGGCTGTCCATCTGTGGACTCTGTGAATGAATCAGGCGACATTTCTTTGTGTAAGATGTGAGGTAACATAGGGTACGAGACATGCCGGGTGAGAGCCCTTCGAATGCTAGACACGCAAAATAAAGTTGTACACCGCTAAAGAAGTTATAACCGGTTATTCGGTGAGGTTTAATGAACTAATTAAGAGTAGTATCTGTGTATTGTGAAGACTAATAGAATGTATGCAGTACGACAGAAATAAATAGTGCACATTATGCCGTGGAGAGAACAATACACTCGTTTCAAAAACCCATCAAGAAACATCGGCGATCGCCATTTGTGCACAGACTACGTGCACAAACAATGCGGAGCTCCTATATTTGGCGCAGCAGGTACAGGATGGCGCGCACTTTTGGAAAAGGTTTGTTACTAGGGGTGCCAGAGTTTAGCGTAACGGGCGTCGTGTAGTTTAGCTGCACAGAAAATGTGCGCTTTAAATGGAGGATATACTTGCAGTTATCGGCATGTTTGGCGAATGCAGTACGATCGCATTGTCTGATGTCTGACGGAAACAGAGAAGAGGTCAGAAATAAGAGAAGGCAGCTATTTTTACTGTCGTTATGTTTCCATGTTTTATAATCGTATTCACCTCAATATCCGGGGGAAAAAACACAGGGCGTCTATACTTGGAGAACATTACTAACCACCCTCTTACGTGGACAGTTAAGGTTTCTTTGCCTGCATTTCAGATTGCCATTTAAGAAAATGGCTGCGCGTGCTACCTAGTTTTCTTTCATTCTAGCCTACAATCTCATTTATAATACTGAACACTGAAAAAGAACTTGGCTTTAGAGGATCGTAAGTTTAAACATAAATTTGCATCGTGTTTAACGGACCAGCGTACAACTTACAACGTACAACTTTAACGGATCAACGTACAATACGGACAAAAGCAAAACGGAAACGCATTGACATTTTTACAGAAGAGCCGCACCGAAAATCTACGAAGAGCAACTTGCCATATAACGTGCGTTTACTTCAATCGTGCAACGTGAGCCAATGACAGCAAACTATGCTTTACTTTTCAATCAGGTATGGTACCTGAAATACGTCTTCGACTGGTGCCTCTTTCGCGTCCTCAAATGTTATCTCTCAATTTCCGCCTGATGACCTTAAAAGTTTTGAATTGCCTCCGGCCGCTATTTTGGCGGTGACACTGCTGCGGTGATGGATGTGGAAGACGTCTGCTCTGCTTATCGATCACCCTCCAGCTTGACTGTTTACGGCAGCTCCAGCAGTCAGATGTTGGGACGCGGCGATGAAGGAGACGCTCGAATGCACTGGAAAACTCTGAACTTCAACAATCATGTTCGTATGATCCTGTTATCATATTTCTAGAGTGTTGGGTACTGTCACTCGCCCTGTACTTTTGCGACCCATTTTGTTTTTGTCTCGTTTAGAAGCCTTATTTTGCCAAAACTAGATTTTACACAAGTTATTTGGAACAACTGCAGTGCCACAGCTGCGGCGACATTAGAACGAGTCCAAAAGAGAATAACGAGAACATTTAACGCTAGAACAAAAACTCTTCTCAGCCCTAGTCTTATCAGAATGCACTTAATTTGGCAGTTTGATACTTTAGACCCATGTTCCGGATAAAAAAAACAGGACGCGGGATGGCCAAAAAAACATGCTTTTCGTGCAAGGCTCGTCAAATTATGAGGCGCTAGAGAAATGCAGCCTTCTGCGTTAAGTCCTTATTTCGAACTCTTTTTGTTCGCCTTCCGCCCATTGAAAAGCATGCGGGAAGGGCCTTAGAACGCACCTGGTATCGCTGCGCCGCAGCGTTCTTCCGCATCAAAAAGTTCGTCTGCTTTCCTCGCCGTCACCATGGCAACGAACGCCGAATGAATAGAAGCACGCACGGTACCGCCGCGTGAAGCTAGCAACAGCTGACGCCATTTTACGAACGCCGTCTGCTAGCCAAAGCCGAACGCGGTTTGGCAGATCAACCGCCCCCGCCGGTGCGCCGCTAGCAAAGACGACGAAGCTGAGGCACGCCGACGGCGATCGAGCGAGCAACAACACCACGGGACGACTGCAACGGCGGCATTTATTCGGATCAAAGGCCGCCTTCGCCGGTGCGCCGCTAGCAAAGACGACGAAGCTGAGGCACGCCGACGGCGAATGGGCGAGCAACAGCACCGCGGGACGACTGCAACGGCGGCATTTATTTTGATCACAGGCGCGAAATAAGCAAGAACAATTTTTATTTGAATCATAACACCCGATATCCAAGTTGGGGACCACATACCTTTGCTGGGTCTTTCCTGTGAACTTTTTACAGAGACACGGGGTGCGGCATTCAAAAAACAGCTCCGTTTGCAAAATATGGGGCCCTGAAAAGGGCCGTTTAGACCGCTGCCAGAACCTATAACTGACATAACGAGCACTTGACAAGCGGTTGGCGCATAAGTCGTCTTTATGCACGCAGACGGGTGACAGGCTCAGCGCAGCGGATCCCTCGAAGTCACCGGGGCCGTCAGAATCCTCGCCCTGTCTGCGTCGGAGCTCTAGATTTTGGCGGCCGCGGCGACGAACGACTGGAATCTATCAGTGTTTCCGCGCGCCTTGTCTCTCCTACAAAACATGAACTTTGCAAGGTGACCAGTGAAATGGTGGCTCTCGCGCCGTCCAGATGGAAGAGAGTTTTTGACGTGGGCCCAGGTGCAATCCACCGTATTGGTGTGCGCACCAGTGTTCGCGTCGACAAAGTTAAGCTTATGGTTGACGGTGAGGTGCGTGAAGTGAGCGTCATCTGCAAGCTTGCGATAGCCAGCCCAACAGTCAGTAATTATTCTTGTTCCAGGGTGGACCAACTCGGCTATTAGCCCTTGCAGGGTTTTAGCGTCACGGGTCTCCACGGGAACAAGAAAGCAGCACCCGCTGCAACGCGCCACACCGCCGAAACCCCACTGGCCAGGCCTTAAATACCCGCGATGGTACTTGTGCCTACCGAACATACTCTCGTCTGGTTCTACAGTCACGCCGTCGCCACCAATCATGTCTGAATGCTTAAAGACGGCATTTAGCACAACCTCCCGACAAAGGCTCGCCCAATCAGTTATTGTCTTACTTGCGATATCAGCCTCCCGCTGAATGACGGCGCACGGTAGGTTCTGGCATCCGGAGGATGATTTTCATGAGTTGGAGAAGCGTCAGGTGCGTGCGATCCTTCGAAAAGGGAACCGCTTCGTATCGAGACTTCGCCCCGGCACTGAACTTTGACCGACTTCCTCTTGGGCACCTCACGAATCATCCACACACCGCACCCCCCCCCTCCCCCCCTTCCCCCCCGTGTAGCCATCCGCAGATCTAGCGCGGACTTGCAGCTTGTCATCGCAGCTTCGCACTCTGGACACGCACGAAAACCCAGGAGCCAGGAGCAGGCCAACGCGCTAAAGCAAATTAATTGCTTCAAGAGGGTCTTTCATGGCGCCAAGAAGACGGCACAAGTTGAACACCATGGCACTGCGATGCTCGCCTCTGGAAGAACAAAGCGCCGAGGGGGAACTGCGCGCTTCTTTGCATTTATTATATTTATTTCATCCACCATTTTATACCTCGTGACACAATTCTAACAAACTCATTGGTTGATCGGTCGTACCACACCATCGCGTGACAAAAAAAAAAAAAAAAAAAAAACGCCAAACGTATGTCCACGGACGGCATCGTCACAGAAAAGGAAGCAGTCGAACCCAACAACAAAATGAAGTAACAAAGTGAATAAAAAAAAATAAAATAAAAAGGGAGCCGTTGCGGTTTCGGACGGCGTCTTCTTTGATGAGAGGAGCTGCTCTGGCCAGAGCGGCCTGAGCAGCCGTGCTGCTCTGGCTGCTCGGAATATTCCTTTTTGTTCTTTTTCTTACTCTACAGGGTGCCACGACCCTTATTTGAAGCTGATGTGTTAAATTAATAACAAACAACGCGTTGGAACGGAGGAGGTAGAGAGTCTTGGCGTCAGAATTTGACGTGGTAGAAAAGAAAAGAAAATAACGAATGCACAATACATACCGTATGCCAAGACCGTTATACTCCGCACTTGGCGAGGCCTTATGACGCAGCCGACGACCGTAAGGCTATTTATTTTGTTTCTTTAGATTTGTTATCAATAGTAGTCGTCACGATAACAAATCTAAAGAAACAAAATAAATAGCCTTACGGTCGTCGGCTGCGTCATAAGGCCTCGCCAAGTGCGGAGTATAACGGTCTTGGCATACGGTATGTATTGTGCATTCGTTATTTTCTTTTCTACCACGTCAAATTCTGACGCCAAGACTCTCTACCTCCTCCGTTCCAACGCGTTGTTTGTTATTAATTTAACACATCAGCTTCAAATAAGGGTCGTGGCACCCTGTAGAGTAAGAAAAAGAACAAAAAGGAATATTCCGAGCAGCCAGAGCAGCACGGCTGCTCAGGCCGCTCTGGCCAGAGCAGCTCCTCTCATCAAAGAAGACGCCGTCCGAAACCGCAACGGCTCCCTTTTTATTTTATTTTTTTTATTCACTTTGTTACTTCATTTTGTTGTTGGGTTCGACTGCTTCCTTTTCTGTGACGATGCCGTCCATGGACATACGTTTGGCGTTTTTTTTTTTTTTTTTTTTTTTGTCACGCGATGGTGTGGTACGACCGATCAACCAATGAGTTTGTTAGAATTGTGTCACGAGGTATAAAATGGTGGATGAAATAAATATAATAAATGCAAAGAAGCGCGCAGTTCCCCCTCGGCGCTTTGTTCTTCCAGAGGCGAGCATCGCAGTGCCATGGTGTTCAACTTGTGCCGTCTTCTTGGCGCCATGAAAGACCCTCTTGAAGCAATTAATTTGCTTTAGCGCGTTGGCCTGCTCCTGGCTCCTGGGTTTTCGTGCGTGTCCAGAGTGCGAAGCTGCGATGACAAGCTGCAAGTCCGCGCTAGATCTGCGGATGGCTACACGGGGGGGAAGGGGGGGGGGGGGGGGGGTGCGGTGTGTGGATGATTCGTGAGGTGCCCAAGAGGAAGTCGGTCAAAGTTCAGTGCCGGGGCGAAGTCTCGATACGAAGCGGTTCCCTTTTCGAAGGATCGCACGCACCTGACGCTTCTCCAACTCATGAAAATCATCCTCCGGATGCCAGAACCTACCGTGCGCCGTCATTCAGCGGGAGGCTGATATCGCAAGTAAGACAATAACTGATTGGGCGAGCCTTTGTCGGGAGGTTGTGCTAAATGCCGTCTTTAAGCATTCAGACATGATTGGTGGCGACGGCGTGACTGTAGAACCAGACGAGAGTATGTTCGGTAGGCACAAGTACCATCGCGGGTATTTAAGGCCTGGCCAGTGGGGTTTCGGCGGTGTGGCGCGTTGCAGCGGGTGCTGCTTTCTTGTTCCCGTGGAGACCCGTGACGCTAAAACCCTGCAAGGGCTAATAGCCGAGTTGGTCCACCCTGGAACAAGAATAATTACTGACTGTTGGGCTGGCTATCGCAAGCTTGCAGATGACGCTCACTTCACGCACCTCACCGTCAACCATAAGCTTAACTTTGTCGACGCGAACACTGGTGCGCACACCAATACGGTGGATTGCACCTGGGCCCACGTCAAAAACTCTCTTCCATCTGGACGGCGCGAGAGCCACCATTTCACTGGTCACCTTGCAAAGTTCATGTTTTGTAGGAGAGACAAGGCGCGCGGAAACACTGATAGATTCCAGTCGTTCGTCGCCGCGGCCGCCAAAATCTAGAGCTCCGACGCAGACAGGGCGAGGATTCTGACGGCCCCGGTGACTTCGAGGGATCCGCTGCGCTGAGCCTGTCACCCGTCTGCGTGCATAAAGACGACTTATGCGCCAACCGCTTGTCAAGTGCTCGTTATGTCAGTTATAGGTTCTGGCAGCGGTCTAAACGGCCCTTTTCAGGGCCCCATATTTTGCAAACGGAGCTGTTTTTTGAATGCCGCACCCCGTGTCTCTGTAAAAAGTTCACAGGAAAGACCCAGCAAAGGTATGTGGTCCCCAACTTGGATATCGGGTGTTATGATTCAAATAAAAATTGTTCTTGCTTATTTCGCGCCTGTGATCAAAATAAATGCCGCCGTTGCAGTCGTCCCGCGGTGCTGTTGCTCGCCCATTCGCCGTCGGCGTGCCTCAGCTTCGTCGTCTTTGCTAGCGGCGCACCGGCGAAGGCGGCCTTTGATCCGAATAAATGCCGCCGTTGCAGTCGTCCCGTGGTGTTGTTGCTCGCTCGATCGCCGTCGGCGTGCCTCAGCTTCGTCGTCTTTGCTAGCGGCGCACCGGCGGGGGCGGTTGATCTGCCAAACCGCGTTCGGCTTTGGCTAGCAGACGGCGTTCGTAAAATGGCGTCAGCTGTTGCTAGCTTCACGCGGCGGTACCGTGCGTGCTTCTATTCATTCGGCGTTCGTTGCCATGGTGACGGCGAGGAAAGCAGACGAACTTTTTGATGCGGAAGAACGCTGCGGCGCAGCGATACCAGGTGCGTTCTAAGGCCCTTCCCGCATGCTTTTCAATGGGCGGAAGGCGAACAAAAAGAGTTCGAAATAAGGACTTAACGCAGAAGGCTGCATTTCTCCAGCGCCTCATAATTTGACGAGCCTTGCACGAAAAGCATGTTTTTAGACCGGAGTTTGGAGATAGTTTTTTTTACAACAACATGGGTCTAAAGTATCAATGTGCCCTTAATTTTGGGGGGTTTGAAAGAGTCAAAATTTAGATGAAAAAGTGGCGACCTAATATTTGTGTTCAGGTGCTGGCATGCTTGTTATGACTACTCAATTTCTAGGCGCTGTTCCAGGCACAGGCGTGCATGAATTAGGTCCAAGGAGGAAGTCAGCGCGCGCCTGTGCAGGAATTGTTAAAATAAATATATTACAGAAGTGGCGTAGTGGAAGGAAATGAACTTTACCCTGAGCAGCTCTCCGCGGCAAAGTCGCTTGTAGTTCTGGTGCTCTATGACCTCTGCAGAGTGCTTTGTGGGATCTCGTACAGGTACTTTGTGTTTCGGCTCATCTTCTGTTCAAGCCGAGAGGAGTGGTAGAGAAGAAATGAAACGGATTTGAACCATGTTCTGCGGAACATATTGTGCAATTGACCCTTCTCAAAAGTTGGCGCCCTCCATTAGATACCCCCAGACCGCCATATTGTTTTGGGCACCCACTATGAGCATAGATTGGACACGAGTCAGCGTTCGGTGTCAACTCGGATCCAGTCTTACACTTCGCGCATGAAGCGATTCCCTAAATATGGCGGCCGCTAGTGTTGCTTGACGCACTTTTGAAAAGGGTATATTCCTTCCCTGCTGGGCTACCTAGCGGTTGACGTGAGCTGCTATGTAGCCAGCACTTAGACGTTCCGCGGAGCAGTTGATGTAAAGGAAGAAATGAGCGCAGAATACAATGGGCTCCAGGAATAGCAGATCACCTGGAATCTTCCTTTTGTGATCTTTACACCTTATCTGGCTTACAGTTATAGCCGTTATTGACGATGTTTAGTAGCGAAGCCCTTGTGTGTTTCGCGTGAGTCGTGCCCCGTTGATGTTTTTATTGTATTTTGTATTTGTAATCTTCTCTAGCCTGTTAACTGCAATATATTAGTACTTGAAATGTTGTATGTGTACATCTATCTTCATGTTATTGTTTACTTTCCTTTGCCCTCGCCATGTGCCAAATTGTAAGGCTGTAGGGGCCTTGCCAAATCATCATTTTTTTTTTACTTTTTGCCCCTGCAACCTACATCAACTCTTGATGTAAATAAAGTATGAGTAATGTCTAACACTTGGTACGTCGTGCAAATTTCGAATTTCAAACGTACATACCTGAAATTGGGCACGCCAACGTAGTTTAGCCCAGAGATTTATATGCCTATTTGTTTGTTTTTAGAGGTCAATTCTAAGCAGGGACTCAAACCGAAAAAAAATATCACGTTTTGGGAATGATTACAGTTACCGTTTCCTCATGATATCAGTTTCATTTCGTTTTTTTTAAGGTTTTGGTCACCTGTTACACGTTCTTAAAAAATATTTTTTCAGTGTTTCCAACAATTTGATATATTGAAATGCTAGACAGTCGTTTTATAATAAACGGTTTAAAGTAGTCCCCCATATCCAACAACGAGACATTAACAAAAACAAGAACTCAAAACCGTCTCAGTACTTCTAATTGGTCAAACGTTGCACGCGTTTCTACCTTCAGCACTTGCTTACTGCATCTATTTGCATCTTATAGTTTGATACTCAAGCAGACATGTTAAGAGAGATTCATACAGTTTCGAGAGTCCGACCGCGTGCGCGGGTTGCTATGGCAAAAGCTGCTTTGGCTTCAACAAAACGGGGGTAAAAACCGGTTTTGTTGGAGCCAACGAAGCTGTTGCCATAGCAACCCGTACGTTACAAACCGTTGGCAGTTGCAGTCAGTCAGACTCGACGCAAGTGTGTGAATCGCCCTTTAAGGTTGGTTCACACACTTCCGCGAGTCCGACCTAGCGCGACTGCAACTACTTGCGATGTACGGGTTCCTATGGCAACAGCTGAGTTGACCCTAATTGAACCGGATTTACCTCGTTTCCTTGGAGCCGAAGCAACTGTTTCCATAGCAACGCGCACGTCGCAAGCTTATGCAGTCGCACTCCGTCGGATTCACGCAACTGCGTGAACCAACCTTTAGCCCCGCTACTCGGAAATCATAGCATGGATTTCAAAAAACCTAGTTTGATGGACATCTCAGAATTCTAACTTATTAGTGAAGAACTTAATACCCCGGAGGCGACACGTACTGAATAGATGTAGCGATTGTAGGAGTGCGGCATATTTAGAAATAGAGGCTCTTCACTATACGCTCGACCACTATTCCAACAAAGTATTCCTAATCCTAAATTTAGATTGAACTGGAATGTATTACCAGATGCACCAATCGCTGACGGTAACTATCTCAATATGGCAATGACATTTCAAGATCCCTTCTCGAGGACATCCTTGAGAAAAAAAAAACAATATTTTTATTTTTTGGTGTATATTGGGGACTATAGGTTATCGGTATATAATTTACGCTGACGGTTGCAGTTACGGTTTTTATAAATATCAAATGAGGGTTTCGTCCCGGTTACGGTTACTGAAAACAATTTCGTTCCTAAACGGTTGTCGGTTTTGGTTATGGGGACAGTTTAAGTCTCTGATTCGGAGATTGTGAAATATAACAAATAGTGCAAAATCGGAGGCCGTGTATTTCCTATGTCCTATACCAGCCAGTTTTTCGTTTATACACTGGTTTAGGGCTCACTTCCGGGTGGCTTGTTCCGCCTAGGAGCAAGCTCACAAACCAGTGTGCAGACGACGAACACCCGGCGTAGGGCATAGGAAATGCGGCAACTTTTTTGCTTTACTTTTAACATTTTAACACCTCTGACTTCAACTCCGAAAAAAAAAAAAACAGATATGAAAGTTCTCGTGAAACTACGTTCGCGTGCCAAATTTTAGGTATCTTACGTTTGGAATGCAAATGTTTCAAGGCGCGCCGAATGTGTTTGTTCTTATTGCCGCACCCTGCATAAGCAGAACCTATACACCTGTATGGTCAACGTGTCGAAAGTGCGTGGAAAGCCTGCATATCTGCATTATCATCGCATTATATATGAGCAAGTGAGAGCAAGTTTCAACATTCTTGTCAGCGAATCGAACGACAAATATCAACCCCATAAAAGGTATATAAATCGCATCGTTCCATAAGACGCACCAACGGAAATTCTAGAAAAACCCGCGACATAAAAACTACAGTATTTCTTTTTTGATTCAGTTAAACTTAATTGATTTTGCACTTGAGACGGTACTCATTAAAACTTTTACGAAGCAAGCAAGCACGTTTTTCTCATTAGAATAAGGACCGTATTAAATTTCTTGTTTTAAACGGCATATCACTTAATGTTCGTTAAGGAATCGGTCAATGTAAGGGGACGTTTAAGTGTTTTTGAAGATAAAATACTTCGTCGAGGGTGTGAGGGTAGTAAAAAAATGTCTGAAACAACTGCATAACGCTGTTGTCAAAGGAAATTAATTCAGATATAATTTCTCGAATACAGCTATGAGAAGTTATAATAATTATTTCAGGCACGTAGAAATAAGTTCTCATATGATCCCATATGCTCTCATTTGTTGATTGGACACACAGGTATGTTTTGAAATTGGTGAAGGCCAATTTGTGTCCCGTAAAGGACAATTCCCACACGTGCGAGATCTAGAAACCGAGTGTCTTAAAACCTCTTAAACTATCTTACGACGAGAAAACACGATAGCACGCAGGCACCATTTATGCGTTGATATTGGAACTGCATTTCACTAGAGCGAATATTTCGCGGTATTTGCGAGCTTCAATGTACATGCATACTACTTATGAGAAATGGTCGCTTTAACATTGACAACAAGTTGTTTCAAGCCCAGAAAGAAAGCATGATGCGGGCATGAAATAGAACATATACGTGATTGTCAAGTATTGCACTGCTACCCGATAGGTGGCACAGTGTGGTCCCTCGTCGTAAGAGATTTTAAGAGGTTGGATTGCATTGGCCTTACGTGTCGGTCACACACTTGCAACCGAATAGGACGGAGAAAGAAAAGACCGGTTTTTAAGCCTCTTACGACGTATTTGGTCCAGCCCCGCAGCAGCACACACGGTCCTAAGACGTCGCAAGTAGCTTAAAAAACGGTCTTGTCTCTCTCGGTCACTCTCGGTTACAAGTGTGTGAACGAGTCTTTAAAGGAGCTGTGCAACTATTTTAACGTTGAAAGAATTGGCCTTTTCTGCTTTTGATATTGTTCACTGTGTCACAAATGGCAGAAAACACACCTCCTTTCATCGAAATGTTGCGATTCCGCCGCGTAATAGCGAGTCAAAACTGAGAATATTTCCCGACCTGCAGCCACGAGCGACGGCCATGAGAAACAAGCGGCGTGACGTCACTTGGGTAGTTGTAAAAAAGATAGCAAGTTGTGCGAATACCTGCTCGATAAAAGGTAACTTCTCCTATAAATTTTGTCGTTCCAACATATATATAAATACGTCAAAACCCTGGTATCATCGACAAAACTTTTATTATACAGAGTTTTAGTGGCGCCACCTATCCTAGGTCCACAAAACCGCGAACAGGAGGGGGACAGCGCCGGACGGGCAAGGCACCGCTAGCACGTGGTCACGCGGTCGCGAGCGGATGAGTTCTCGCTGCTCGCTGATGGCTCCAAAGAGAGAACTTTTCCGGAACTCCGCGCCTACTCAAGTGACGTCACTGTGCACGTGACCCGGAAGACAATGCACGAGTTGAGAGGCGGCAAAAACCTGGATCTTTTTCATTTTTTTAAATAAAAACTACGGTATCCAGGCAAAATCTGTTTTCTGTAGTTCACTGCAGAAGTGTCAGGCATCAACTTCCACAAATATTTAAGCAAAGCCCTGAAATTGTTGCACAGCTCCTTTAAGGGCAATGACGCTCAATTAAAAGAAAATTGGTGGGGGATAATTAGGGATTTCACATTAAAAAGTACTTATTAAAGGGGCTACGTTATTTGCTTCGCGAAAGATGGGATGTTTATTGTTAACCTAGGATAGGATGTTTATTGTTAACCTAGTTCATTGTTATTGGGCCTAGTCAGGTGATTCGTTTTCGCCTTTTGTCCCAACCTCCCTGACAATTGTGTCAAAAATAAAAATAAAAAAACAAACAAAATCTTACTTTATACATCAGCAAAAATCGAAACCGAAACTGAGATTCCGTCTGACAACATTAGTCTTGGGGCGCCAAAAGCATAGCTGTCACGTGGTATGAGATGTCCCGTGATCCTCAACGCAACAACGGGCGGGGTTGTGCCTGGCCGGCGGGTCAATCTTAGGGCAGGCGTGCGCCAGGCGGAAGTGTCGTCTGCCCCGCACTCTTCGCCACGTTTTGGTGTCTACGACATTCGATCACGTCTGCATCTCTGCGGCATGAGTTTGCGCAGGTAGTGTGAACGAAACTACGAGAGACAATAGCCGCAAAATGGTGAGACGACAACGGCGTTTGCGACGCGGGAACGGCGGTAACGGCAGGATGGCCAGACAGCTCTCATGAAGCGCGCTGCGCAGGTACGTATTTGCTAATCACGTGGGCCCTCCGAGCGCCGAGAGAAAGTATTGCTGACGTCACCCGTTATGCTTGCCCAAGAAGTAAAAACAAACAAAAAGGGGCAATGGTAATGACGTTTAGCTCAATGTTGGCGACTGCGCTGTTGGTTCCGACTCAATTCACCCGCTGAGTGAGCCCATTTCGTCAATTTAGAGCGTTTCAATGTTTGCCGGACCTTTTAAGAAACATTTAGACAAAACTAGGCCGTAATATTTGAATGTCATCTTCCTAGGTGATACTGAAGACGACTGCACTGTTTTTTTCAAGAACAAAAATGAAGCGGAGTTGCTTTTTAACAAGTCGCAAGTGTGTGAACAGGATTTTTATGCCCACAAATTAATCCGAAGCAGCAATATCAAGCAGCGATCTCACCTGCTTTTTTCATGGTGCTCACGAATTCGTTGTACTGTGTGAGAGAAATAGAAGATAAAACGACAACATTGTAAAACGAGTATATTGAAACGACGTAAATTAAGTGATTAAAACTCCGTACCATCATCGTTGAAGGGGTCGGGACTGGAGCCCCTATATGTGAGTCAATTACCCTGGTGATATCCTCCGAGTAGGAATTATTGCCGCGGTCGCAGCTGGCCAAGTAGGCAGCGCGCGCGTGGCCTAACGGTTATCGCGCTTGCCTCTCACGCAGAAGGCCAGGGTTCGATTCCTGGCAGCGGCTACACATTTTTGTTGAGAGTGTAATTTGATGTTCTGGTGAATTCGAGAACCGTCTTGCTGTTTCGAGGTTAGAATGTTCCACGCGCCGAACCTTCTACGCCGAACGATCCAGAAACCCACGAGGGTACATAAGGGATTCCGCAAGGCGAGCGGAGTCAGTCTCGCCCCAGCGTTCGACTCTGCTGCCACGCCGACTTCGACGCCCGCGACGCTTTGTTATTATCTTTTGTACTCTTTTATTTTTGGCACAAGTTCGCCACATTAAACGTTTATTTCTTCCTGTTCATCTATTGTTTTTTGGTCACCACCGTGACATATTGGTGGAGGTGCGGGGTAACGCATGCCCGTGCAGCGTTCCCCTCCGAGGGTTCGCAGTGCAAGTCCGACGCCAAGCCCACGAAGAACCGACGAAGGCACTACCGAGATCCGGTTCAGTCGTCGCACCCAAGGCCTACACCCGGAATTCGGACTTCTGCCGCCCAGGACCAAGCAGCCAACGAAGCCGACGATGGCCGATCAGTCGCCGACCCCCGCCGCTCCTGCCGTCGTCTACCTGCCCGCCGCTCCCCGTACGCCGACTCCCTTCCACGGCGAGATCCATGAGGATGTCGAAGACTGGATCAAGCACTACGAGGGTGTGGCGCGGCACAACGGATGGACTGCGGAGCAGTGCCTCCAGAACCTCTACTTTTCGCTGGAGGGTACTGCGAGGCATTGGTTCGAGAGTCACGAGGCTTCGCTTACGTCGTGGGACATCTGTGTAGCCGAGTTGCAGCGGACGTTCGCCAGCCTACACCGACGGGAGAAGGCAGAAGATCTCCTCAGAATTCGAACGCAGGGCCCCGACGAAAGCATCACAAGCTTCGTAGAAGATGTCCTCCGCCTGAGCGCCCGTGCCGACCCACGAGCCACAGACGACAAGAAGCTGCGGGTCCTCATGCGCGGGGTGAGAGACGACATCTTTGGAGGCCTCGTGCGCAACCCACCGGGCACCGTCGAAGCCTTCGTCACCGAGGCGACAAACATCGAGCGCGCCCTCCAAGCGCGCGCTTCCCACTACCGGCGACATCCAAGTGTCGCTGCAACCGCGCTGCTTGGCGGCGAGCACGCTCCTGGTACGGATATCCGCGAAATTATCCGGGAGGTCGTCCGGGAGGAACTCCGCCAGTTGCTGCCAGCCGCAAGTCGTCCAGCGACACTTTCCATTGCCGAGGCTGTGCGCGAGGAAGTACAACGGGCGCTCCAACAAGAGGTTCCCGTCACCACGGTGGCACCGCAGGAACCGACGTTGAGCTACGCTGCCATAGCCCGACGACCGCCACAAGCTCCCCGCCAAGCCGCGGCGCCACCCCGAAGAGACGCCCCAACATCGCAGTATCCCCGACGACAGGAAGATCAGGCGCACGTTCACCCAGACCGACCTGCGCCGAGGAAGACAGACGTCTGGAGGACGGCCGACCGACGCCCGCTGTGTTACCACTGCGGGGAAGCTGACCATGTGTACCGCCGATGCCCATACCGACGACTCGGGCTGCGCGGATTCCACCCAAGCGACCCGCGTCCCAGGTATGGTGAACGCCCTCGGGAGATCGACGAGTACTTGCGACGACCCCAGTCCCCCGAGCCTGCGTCCCGCCGAGAGTTCCGATCGCCTTCACCACGACGTCCAGCTTCGCCGATGCACCGACCCCGGCGTGAAAGCCTGTCGCCCCTCGCTCCACGCCGGGGAAACTAGGCGCGGCAACCCCTGGAGGTGGAGTTGCCGAAGACGACCGACGCCAAGATCCTCCACGAACGTCGGAGGGCCCCCACTCGAACGCTACCGGAGACCGAAACGACGCTCCTGAAACGGTGTCCAACAACCTAAACGTCATCATCGACGGCCACGACGCATCGGCACTCGTGGACACGGGAGCAGACTACTCAGTTTTGAGTGGGAGGCTCTCCCGCCGCCTTCGAAAAGTCACGACGCCGTGGGATGGACCTCAAATACGAACCGCCGGTGGGCACCTCATCACACCAGTCGGGCGATGCACCGCTCGCGTCGAGATCCACGGTGAGACGTGCCCTGTAAAGTTCGTCGTTCTGCAAGACTGTTCGAGGGACGTTATCCTCGGAATGGACTTCCTCTGCTAGTATGGCGCCGTCATCGACCTCGGAGCAAACCGGTTGACGCTGCGAAAGCCTGTTTCACCACCGGAGGAACCCAAAGCGACGTCATCTGCGGTCCGAGTCCTCGCCAGCCACGTGAACTTACCGCCGCGGTCGAGTGTTTTCGAACCCGTCGGGATCACCGAAGATTTCTGCGGCGAAGTTCTGTTCGAAGGAAGCCTCCAGTTGCTTCTGGGAAGAGGAATAGGCGTCGCAAGAGGAGTTGCTGAACTTCAGGATGGCCGCACTGCGGTCCTCGTCACGAACTTCCGAAATGAAGCGCAACACCTCACAAAAGGTGCAGCCGTGGGCCAGGTCGAGGAACTCCAAAACTCCGCCGCTGTCGCCGCCATTACTGACGAATCCTCGCCACCTCAGCAAGACAGTGCGTCGCCAGCGCAGCTCGACATTGACCCTAAACTCCCGGGCCCGAAACGACGACAGTTGATTAACCTTCTCGCCGAATACCGCGACTGCTTTGCCACGTCGTCGAAGGTGCGCCAAACCACCGTTGCGAAGCACCGCATCGTTACCGAGGACGACGCGCGCCCGGTGCATCGATCGCCATACAGAGTCTCCGTTGAAGAAAGGCAGGCGATCCAGGAGCAAGTTCAAGAAATGCTGAACGACGACATAATTCAACCTTCAAGCAGTCCTTGGGCCTCTCCAGTCGTACTGGTTAAGAAGAAAGACGGGACGCTTAGGTTCTGTGTAGACTACCGGCAGCTGAACACGGTGACGAAGAAAGACGTCTACCCACTCCCCCGCATCGACGACACTCTAGACCGGCTGCGCCACTCTCGATATTTCTCATCGATGGACCTGAAGAGCGGCTACTGGCAGATCGAAGTCGACGAAAGGGACCGAGAAAAGACAGCCTTCGTCACGCCGGATGGACTGTACGAGTTCAAAGTGATGCCCTTCGGACTGTGCACGGCGCCAGCAACTTTCCAACGTGTCATGGACACCGTACTGGCAGGACTGAAGTGGCAGAGCTGTCTCGTCTACCTCGACGACGTCGTCGTGTTTTCCAGCGACTTCGACGAGCACTTGCGACGACTCCGAGCAGTTCTCCAAGCCATACTGGCCGCCGGACTCACCCTGAAGCCGTCAAAGTGTCGGTTCGCTTATGACGAACTGAAGTTCCTCGGCCACGTGGTTAGTAACGAAGGTGTCCGCCCAGACCCCGAGAAGACTCGTGCCGTCGCAGCATTTCCAGCGCCAAGAGACAAGAAGGCCGCCCGAAGGTTCCTTGGGCTATGTGCCTACTATCGGCGCTTCGTTCGAGATTTCGCAAGAATTTCCGCACCGCTCACACACCTCACGAAGGACGCCGAGAAGTTCGAATGGGCCTATGAACAGCAGCAGGCATTTGACGAGCTGAAGCGACGACTGCAGACTCCTCCTGTTCTTGGACATTTCGACCAGGATGCGGAAACCGAGATTCACACGGACGCAAGTAACGCAGGGCTTGGCGCGGTTTTGGTTCAAGTACAAGAAGGCACCGAGCGAGTCATCGCCTACGCAAGTCGGACATTGACCAAGGCGGAGAGAAATTACTCCACGACTGAGAAAGAATGCATTGCGGTCGTCTGGGCAATCACGAAGTTTCGTCCGTACTTATACGGGAGCCCGTTCCGGGTAGTCACGGACCACCACTCGCTCTGCTGGCTTGCGAACCTCAAGGACCCGTCAGGACGCCTCGCGCGGTGGAGTCTCCGACTACAAGAGTTCAACATGACCGTCGTCTACAAGTCAGGCCGCAACACAGCGACGCCGACTGCCTGTCCAGAGCTCCCGTCGCAACACCTTTCGGCAGCAGCGACGACGATGACGACGAGTGTTTTCTGGGCGCAGTGAACATCAACGACATGGCCCGGCGTCAACGAGACGATCCTGAGCTGCGCCCACTAATAGAGCACCTGGAAGGGCGCGGGAGTGCCATGCCACGTGTTTTTTCACGAGCGCTGCCGACCTTCGCCATTAGACAAGGTGTACTCTACAAAGAGAACTTCGGGAACAACAACTCGCCATGGCTGCTGGTAATCCCGACCGACCTTCGGGAGGAGATCTTTCAAGCCTGCCACGACGACCCGACGTCCGGACACCTTGGTTACAGCCGGACCCTGGCACGTATTCGTGAAAAGTATTACTGGCCCAAGCTCCCCAAAACCGTCCACCTGTACACGCGATCATGTCATGAATGCCAGCGACGAAAGAAACCTCCGACGAGGCCGGCCGGACTCCTGCAGTCAATTCCTCCGCCAACAGCACCCTTCCAGCAGATCGGAATGGATCTACTTGGCCCTTTTCCGCCGTCGACGTCGGGAAATCGCTGGATCATCGTCGCCACAGATTATCTCACGCGGTATGCCGAAACGAAAGCCCTTCCTTCCGGAACTGCTGTGGAAGTTGTCAAGTTTTTCATTGAATCCATCGTCCTCCGGCACGGCGCTCCCGAAGTCCTGATCTCAGACCGTGGATCATCATTCATGGCCCAGCTGACGCAAGAAGTCCTTCGTCTCAGCCACACCAGCCATCGCCGCACCACGGCGTACCACCCGCAGACCAACGGGCTAACGGAGAGACTCAACAAGACCATCGCCGACATGATCTCCATGTACGTCGACGTGGAGCACAAGACATGAGACGAGGTGCTGCCGTACGTCACATTTGCCTACAACACGGCCGTACAAGAGACCACCGGAATGACACCCTTTCAGCTGGTGCATGGGCGCAAGGTAACGACAATGCTGGACGCTATGTTACCCCACGAAGCGGCTGTCGACGCAAGCGACGACGCCCAGGTGGTTGCCCAAAGGGCAGAAGAAGTCCGTCAGCTCGCCAGACTTCGGATTCAGGCTCAACAACGTGTCGACACTGGCCGCTACAACCTTCGTCGTCGGGACGTCCACTTCCAGCCCGGAGACAGGATGTGGGTGTGGACACCGATTCGCCGCCGCGGTCTCAGCGAGAAGCTCCTGAAACGTTACTTTGGACCCTACAAAGTGCTTCGTCGACTCGGGGATCTGAACTACGAGGTGATGCCCGACGGAACACGGACTTCATCACGCCGCCCTCCACGACCCGAAGTCGTCCACGTCGTGCGCATGAAGCCATACTACGCTCGATAGGACAGTGGACCTTACGTATTCCAAATACTCTTTAGTTTACCGTTCTTTTTATTTGCTTTGTTTTGTTTTTGGGGTGCATCGGGACGATGCACTTTTTAAAGGGGGAGTAATGCCGCGCGCGCAGCTGGCCAAGTAGGCAGCGCGCGCGTGGCCTAACGGTTATCGCGCTTGCCTCTCACGCAGAAGGCCAGGGTTCGATTCCTGGCAGCGGCTACACATTTTTGTTGAGAGTGTAATTTGATGTTCTGGTGAATTCGAGAACCGTCTTGCTGTTTCGAGGTTAGAATGTTCCACGCGCCGAACCTTCTACGCCGAACGATCCAGAAACCCACGAGGGTACATAAGGGATTCCGCAAGGCGAGCGGAGTCAGTCTGGTCTTGGGCGGCAGAAGTCCGAATTCCGGGTGTAGGCCTTGGGTGCGACGACTGAACCGGATCTCGGTAGTGCCTTCGTCGGTTCTTCGTGGGCTTGGCGTCGGACTTGCACTGCGAACCCTCGGAGGGGAACGCTGCACGGGCATGCGTTACCCCGCACCTCCACCAATATGTCACGGTGGTGACCAAAAAACAATAGATGAACAGGAAGAAATAAACGTTTAATGTGGCGAACTTGTGCCAAAAATAAAAGAGTACAAAAGATAATAACAAAGCGTCGCGGGCGTCGAAGTCGGCGTGGCAGCAGAGTCGAACGCTGGGGCGAGACTGACTCCGCTCGAATTGCGGAATCCCTTATGTACCCCGTGGGTTTCTGGATCGTTCGGCGTAGAAGGTTCGGCGCGTGGAACATTCTAACCTCGAAACAGCAAGACGGTTCTCGAGTTCACCAGAACATTAAATTACACTCTCAACAAAAATGTGTAGCCGCTGCCAGGAATCGAACCCTGGCCTTCTGCGTGAGAGGCAAGCGCGTTAACCGTTAGGCCACGCGCGCGCTGCCTACTTGGCCAGTTGCGCGCGCGGCAATATAGACCATCACACTGGGGGGGGGGGGGGGGGGGGGGGGGGCTTTTAAACAAGTCCGTGTTTTCCCATGCAGGTGTGCACACTTCGTGTGCTCAGAAACAAGATTCGGATTGTGGGAAACACGGTGTTCCCCGCATCCCTATCTAGGCCTAGCTCAGGCAGGCCGTGGGACGTCGCCACGTGGGGCCGCGTCCCGGATGCGAGGGCGAAGCCGTATTCCCTGGTGGGCGGCTTTCCCCCGTCCTTCTCGGGTGATTTGCCTAAGGCACACTCCTCGGGATCATGACTTGGACGCGTCCGCCCCTCCGGGGAGCCACCTACATCCGACCCACCCCGGGCGTGTCCATTCCCGCAGGCTATATAACACGGCCCTAATCCAACGGGTGGGACTCTCGCTGGGGGAGGCTCTGCTCGACGGAGCCTTCATATCTTTATCTGACCCTCCCCCTCCGTGATACTGTCAATAGCGGCAGCGCGGACTCCGACTGGAGATCCTGTCAAAAGAGACAGCGCCGTCATCTCCAACATTGTTGGCCTTCGGGCAAGCGTGTGGCATCAAAGTCAAATAAACACGTCTTTATCCGGACCCAAGGAACCTTCTGTGTTTCTAAGTGGTACCCCCAAAGAAGGGGATTCCCACAGGATGAAGTTAAGCTTTTGCGTTTGCGCCGTGCGGACAGCAGCTCCACCCCAGCGGCATGACACCAGTTAACAGATTTGCGCCCGACTGTGCTGACTGAGTGTGTTGGAGTGCGTAGCGCTTTTCGCGGTGTTGAATTGGAATGGAGTGGGAATAGGAAAAAGTAATTTCCTAGACTGAAAACAAAGTGAAATGAAAGACGAAATTATTTTTAAAGATCCGTGGGGATAAGAAAGTGCCAACGATTGATTGCGTTGAACAATGGCACTTACGTTAAAAAGCCCTGGACATTTTCGGTGCGATTACGTCACTACGGAGATGGGATTGCTAATCCAGAGTGGGTCATGAATTACTAACACGATATGGCAGGGAAAGCATTTGGTTATCAGATCTCGGGTCATGGTTGCTAGACTGTCGGCATCGTAAGAGGAATATGCCAAACTCTCTTAGTATAGATGCCTCTGGGAAGGGTCTATTGCTAATTAATGTCACTGGATCTTCTCGGCCTGCTAACCGTACACAGACAGATACTAGAGAGTCTAAGGAAACCGTTCTCAAAAAAAAAAAAAAAAAAAAACTCCTCGGGGAAGTTAAATAAATATATATATATATATATAGAAGAAGAAAAGAACCCTTAGTGGGAAAACAGCAACAACGGACGATTTAATCTTCGTCGTCTCGGCCGGAGTCCGGCCTTCGTCAGGAAGAAATCGTCCGTTGTTGCTGTTTTCCACTGAGGGTTCTTTTCTTCTTCTATACCCACGCCTTCGGCCCCCCGCCACCCCACGCCCGTTATATATATATATATATATATATATATAGTAGTTTTTTTGTGGCCCTTTGTGCTAGGAATGTCGTTTTTTATTGTTTATGGCTCCACCACTAGCCAGTGCCTCTAATAAAAAAATTAGTGTTTTTTCTTCTGAGGGGGGGGGGGGGGGGGGGCAGGCTTGTTGTTGAATGTGCTAACATGTAAAGACGCGGCAGATTGAAGGTATCTCTGATGTTAACTACGTTTCTCAGCTGGAATCACAACTGCTCAGCCAACGCTTTGCATAATTTACCCATTATGTAACCTAACCGAAATAATGTTACTTTCTTTATCATTGCAATTTATTTATCGCGCAACGATAGCTACTCCGCTTCTTTCTTTACCCTGCTTCCGGTAACTGCATGCTTTCTCTCGTGACTTACCTCAACGATGCTTTAACTATTCAACTATCTCAACTGATTATATTGTTAGAAGCAATATACCAAATAGAGACAACCATCGACTCATGTTATTCGCTTTCGACCAGCCATATCCATTTCTTGGTTATGGACGTTTATGACGACTCGGGTCACTCAGAATAAATCCTGTGCATGTAATTGTGTTCTCCGTCACACGTCCCACACAACACTTAAACCCACCAGTTCTTTATAAAATACATCCTTAAAGACAACGCCGGCGCATCAGCTCTCCGAACGTAGTACGTCATCACTACTTGATACATGCCGCGCCGCCTACATTGCGTCAGCATTGCAAAAAGGGCATTTTGCAGCGTCTCACAATGGACGGGACGCTGGCACACGGCGACGCCAAGAAGGACACAATCTGCCGCTTCGCGGCCACTCTCGTTCAGCTACCGTGTTTGCCGCTTTAAGGCAGGTGGGGGTCCACCAACGATGACGTCACGCGAAGGCCTTATCTTCTAAGTGGTATCGCCTTATCTCGGAACCTCCGGCGCAAAGAACTTGGATCTTAAAACCTTGTTCTTGACGACCTCGTGATGGGTGTCCAGCTCTAGTTTGGGGATGGTGGGGGGTTCTTCGTCGGCGGCCATGGCTATCGCCTGCTCGGCCCATTTCTTGGCGCGGTAGTAGAAGCGATGGTGGAGGGCTACTTGGCTGAGGTTCAGGCAGTCCCGAGCTGTAGGTGCAGAAATGAAGAAAGTGGAGCAGATAAGTGAGGCTCCAACACAATTGTTTTGCCCATGGTTCAATAAAACGCCGTGCTATGTTGCAATATACGAGTAACATGGAACTTACGTACCTATTAGTTACCACGCATAAATGTTTTACGCACTTGGAATATATGCGAAACAAATTACTAGTGTAAATATTTGTGGGCTACGGGTCGGTTTCCGTTTGAGCTGTTTCGGCACTGGTTACTGCGGAAGATGTGACATTAAGCCGCTGCAGTACGCTTGTTAAGCTAGAGCTCTGAAGGCACATAATTAGTTTGGAATCTCAAGTCCGCATGCGCTATGATGACTGTTCGCATAAAAACGAACATTAACAAAAGTCAAATTTAAGAAGCAGGCATATATCATGCAGCCCGGGGGTTCTATTTAAGCATACCAAATTGTGTAATTAAATGCAGTGTAGAAATCACAGTGGACTGTAAATATATTAATAACCAGACCAACTACAAACTTGTTGAAAAGCATATCACACGTTTGAAACTCTAGAGTAAAGAACGTACTCTTTCTATCGCATTAACGTCAGAGTTTATATTGGTATTAACGTCGCCTAAAGCCTGATTCACATGGAGCACCGCTCAACGTTGACCGCCGCAGCTTCCACCGCGTTATTTTTGCCGCAGAAGCAACGTCGCAACTGCGAAATCGCAAGTAAAATCGCACCACGTGAAGCAGGCTTGGAATACTCTTATAGTGTATTGGAAAATGTGACGAAATCACTTAATCTTAGAACAAATTTTATAGAGAGTTCTAGAATAGCGGGGGCCCAAACCTATGGGCCACTCGAGCAGCTTGAGGCTTCACACTGCGCAAGTTTTGTTTTTCTGCGCATGCGCAGTGCGCCTTCCGAAACTACTTCGGTGACTTAAAGTTTCGGGGCGCCCTATCATAAAAATCTGTAATATCGGGACGGCTGCTCGCGCTAACAGCCCCAGGCGCATGTTTTCTAAGCGCACACTTAAGTCATTATAGAGCTTTAGCAAACGACTCGACAGCAACCCCTGCCCTAGGTGTGGATCATCATCCACAAATATTAGCCTTGCATACCGTCAAGCGGAAGACGTCCAGGAATTGTCCGGTTGCGCGGAATCTCTGTGTGGAGGTGTCCCTTAGTCAGTTCATGTAAGTCCAGAACGTACGTGTCCTGAAGGGTCACGAGTGACGTCGCAAGCCCCGTAAAGTCTTCGTCCCATGGAAGCTGCCGCTTCTCGCGCATTGCTTCGATGTTCACCAGAGGATCTGAAAGTGTTCGTGAAGACAACATATTGCTTTACCGTCGAACCTGAAACCCTTCTTCTGTAATGGCGTGGCCGCCAGATATTGCGAACTCCCTGTGATTAAATAGTTTTGCACACAAGACGCTAATAAGTTGAATTGTAAGCAGTGATAGAGTGCAATCGAGCTGGTAATGAATCGACACCTTGTAGAATCTGAGATGGAGAACAGGGTCTACTAGATGTCGTGTAAGTTGAATTAAAAAAAAATGGAGGTGTGACCTGGAACTAATACAAATTTTCGACAGTAGGTTGTCTGGGATGTATTACTTTATATGCAAGAATGCGGGTGTATGCAGACGTCTACGATTTTCTGTAATTCGAAAATAGAGAGCAGTTCTTGGGGTATTTTGATGTTGCGATATTGCATAGTAAAAAATTTAAGAGAGAAAAATATATGTACGTTGATTTTTGTTTTCTTTTTTACGGTAGGCCAGAGAGGACGAGGAATGTACGGTAGTAACCCCACAATTCAACGCGCGCGGTGTCTGCATTAACGTGAAACGTTCTTTGGCTAGTTGCTCCGAATTTTGTGAAGCCGGCCGGTCTGTGACGTCACATGACGTCACAGTTTTCCCGCTGAATCTAGCTGAAAAATTGACGCCACGTGACCAAAACACAAATCCAAATTCCCTGCTAAATTTACCAAAAAAAATCACGTCACAATTTTTCTAATGTAACCTATACAGAAATTCAGATTCCCCACTAGATTCAGGGGAAAACTGACGTCACGTGAAATCAACACCAGTTCAATTTCCCTAGAAAATGTAGCGGAAAATTGACGTCACACTGCATAATGCCGAATGACCTATACTCAAATTCAGTTTCCACGCTAGATATAGTAGGAAAATTGACGTCACGTGACCCACAACATCAATTCAGTTTCCCCGCTTAAATTGGCGCGAAAATTGACGTCACATGACTTCGCGTCACGTAACTTATACAAAAATTCAGTTTCCCTGCTATATTTAGCGGAACAATAACGTCACCTGACGTCAAACCAATTCTGTTTCCTCGTTATATTTAGTGGGGAAAAATGACCTATAGACACATTCAGTTTCTCCACTAAATTTAGCGGGGAAACTGACGGGGAAGTCAATGGGGCAGACAACAGTCAATGGGGTGGAGAGAAGTGGAGAGACCTGGAGGCACAGCTTGAGAAGAAAATAGTCAAGGTTACCAGCGCTGAACCGAGAAGGGAAATTTGCACTGCGATTTTTAACCTATCATTGTTTATATAGTTTATTTTGTATTGTCCCTAGCAACCTCAGAAACGCGGGGTGGCCAATTGTGTTCACACATCTTTCGTCATGATAGCCACATTTTTGTAGGCTATTGCCGCAATCCCCTGCGTGTCTTAAGATGTTGGTTGCTATCAGAGAGTGTCGCAACCTACCAAACTCTCGCGTGTTGTTTATCTCTGCTTCTATTGCCCCAAGGCCAGCGGTCATCCTCTTGATCAAGTGGAAGGCGTGCACTGGGTGCTTGAGGTATTCAGAGACAGCGGAAGTTGACGTCAAGTCCTCGTAGGGCTGCCTGTCCTGGACAAAACTAACGAAGATTAAAAGAAATAAGGGCTCACGCGTGAATATTTCGATGTTGAACGTCAAATGAGCAAACTCAAACTAAAAGCAATTATAGAAACTTTTACGTTTTTATGAATGGCGTCGTAGCACTGAGATCCTCGAATAAAAGCGCGAGCGAAACGCAAAAAAAAAAAGACATACCAAAAGGAGAAAGAAGTTTATTATTAGCTAGTGTACACAAATGAAACAACAACCAATGACATAAAACTATATAAAGGGGTAAATGTAATAACAAAAATATCCGAAGAACAAATACCTGCACTTGCGTCTGAACCGCATGTAATCGATTTAGGGAGCGACGAGACGAGCGACGGCGACAGCGACGAGAGTCAGCGACGAGCGACGGAGATTTCTCACTGTCGCTCGTCGCGTTGCCAGGTTTTTGGATTTCTAGAAAACGTCGCTCATCGCCTTGGTCGCTGCTTGCTCCCGTCGCTTTCATGCGCTTTGCCACGTCACGCGGGTGACCGAACGACAGTGAAGCGGATCGCCGTCGCTTGTCTCGTCGCTCGCCAAATCACTTACATGCGGCTTCTGCACTAAATAAGTCACCTCTTTCTTGCGGGCATAGAAGCAAGAAAATAACTCCAGACACGAAGAGTTCAAGATACGCCGAGCATATAGGCGCTGCGAATCTTGTTGTCGTGGCGCAATCATTGATATTGTGGTTTTAGCTGATAAGAATGTCGTAGAACGAATGAAAAAGGAAAAAGGGTGAATACAAAAAAGCCACGCACTGAGTTTATTTAGCTGTCTGTGCATAACTGAGACTAATGCATGGGTGAAATAAAGCAAGAAAGAAGAATGGGAATAAATTCGTTTATACGCGGAGGGTTCGCAGGAATGGCCGTAAGTGGGCGGATTAAACACTGCCTGTTTTTTTTTTTTTTATATTTTCGAACGGTAGGTGGTGCCGTTCATTTATAGATCCCCTGTTGGGAGCACCTCTTGAGGGTCCTAGAAGAGGATTTAGTGCGGGACACTAGGAAAGTAGAATGTGCATATGTTAACTTAAAAAAAAAATAAAAAATAAGATACTCTCCTCGCTTTTTTTTCGCCTCCTTGCTCGAGCTGTGTTAAACGGAATGAGAATCAGAAAAAAAAAACGCTAGGTGCTGGCCCTATGAATTCTAAGCACTATTAAAAGAGGGGAGGGGGGTGGGGGACCGCACGTCTTGGTTTCATAATCTGGTACTGAAGCAGCTTGTGGCTGTCCTTTTTTTTTTCACAATTCGCGAAAACCTTACGGCTTTCCTGAAAGTTTCATGTCGTGCACTATTTGTGGCTTACCGTATATTCAGGACTATAGACCGCAAACCGTATATTATATGTATAAATGTTGGAATAAATAAGGTCGAGAACTGTAATTTTTAACAATCATTATACATAATGTTTCTTCGTTTTTTTTAATAATGCAAACAAACACGAGCTTTTTTTTTAGGGGGGCGGGGGGTCGTGTTTTATTTTATCGTTGCACCACACGGAATAGGCACTGTAGAAACGAGCAACACAGCATCGCGCTTGCCCCTGAATTATGTTGTCCCCCCCCCCCCCCCCCCCCTCTTCCTCACTTCTGCAGGTTCGTGCTCTCTGCACTGTTCAAATTAATTGTCGCGTGGACTAGCTTCAGGTGCGAAACGTACAATGATTTCTTTTTTCAGGAGTGTTCAATATCACGTGATGTAATACATTTTGGGTGTGATATGCTACGTTAATTATGATTCCTGTAAAACACAGGCTTTATAAAACAGGCATTTTGCAAAGAAGGCTGAGCAGGATAATTTTATGAGCAAACGTTTCGTCAGTCTGGGGAATGAGCTCTGGTGCGCACAGTGTAACGGGTGCGGACTATCCAAATAAAAATATTTTTTTGCCGTAATTTGCATTTGTGCGCCATACACGTGGAGCGGGATATGGTCCGGTGAAATACGCACGGTACTACGGTACTTGGCTTTCCCATTCCCTTCCCTCTCCCACTCCCCCCGTCGTCCTCCCTACTCCCGATCGTTCGGCCTGATTGCCGGTCGAACCTACTTGAGTATGCTGTCTCGAAGAACCTTTATGCGTTCCACGTAGCTGAGGAGGTCGACCTTTACTCGGGTTTCGACGTGGATGAGATCGGAGAGGCCGGACACAGTCGAGTAGAAGTCTGTGTTCCTCTGGCCGCTCGAACGACTCACCACCAGACACCACAGCAGCACGACCACTCTCCAGGGCTGCCTGCACATTCGTTAGAAATAGGCAGTTGTGCCATTGTGTAGTCCCCGCGAGACTAAGAAAAGCGGGGCATGGTTTGTTATGCTGACACTTCCTGATTAGCATCTCCTTCCGTCGGTTTTTTTTTTTAATGCGAAAGAATTAAATTGTCTCATGGAGCGAGCTGACGTCATCAGCCTGAAGCGCGAAAACGGCAGATAGTTTCCTTCGGTTCCGTTGGCTTGCGCGCGTCGACGGGGCTCCCATTGGCCTCTGCGCTTGTCAGTTTCCACGACCGCTCACCCCACGGCGCTGCGTGTCCATCAGCGCGGAGCGTCCAAGGTCACCAGGGGAGCACACGCGCCGACCGGTAACGAAATGTACGCAGCAGACGAAAAAGGGAGCGGACGAGCGGCTTGCATGCTTTCGCATTCACGACTCATAAGAAATGCCTAAATGTGCCTCGATTTTTTTCTTTTTTTATCATCTAATGTCTCGGTCTGATTGGCTGCGGAAGGATAATAAATTTTGTAAGCTATAGTAACAAGAGGATAAGGAATTGTTCTCCTGATCATTTTATTGAAAGACCGCTAAAGAGCCTGAGGCGTCGGATCATCGCCGCACATAAGTTAGGGAAGAAATAATGCGGGACGTATAAAGAAAGTTAACATATTAAAATTAATAATTCAAAGAATATGTGCTTGAGCGCAGGCCCCACGGCCTCAGGCTATGTCGTACACAGAAATAAGCCACATCCGAATTGTGTACCACAGATATAGAGAGTGTTAGTATATATTTAGAACATATTTTTTTAATAAAGGGGGGTGAGAGCTTTTTCTTCACCACGTATTTATCAGGTTCGGCGGGCATTAGATGATGAAATAATCTTCATGCTACGCTGATGAGCTGGCACGGCACCAAGTCTGGGATGCGTTGGTCATACCCTGTCACTTCTCAGGTTGGTGCTCTATTCTTGTCTTAGCGAGACGACACTCTCAGTGTCATTGCGGTGTCGTACCATCCCGCAGTGTACGAGTGTTTGATTTTTATTTGGTGTAAACTTGCAGCACTGGCAGATATCGCAAACTTCGCTCTGAGCCTGCTTCTACTGTCTGCGGACGTTGAAACAAACCCCGGCCAGGATATTGTGTAGGGTCCGATCGAGAAAAGTAAACCCTACTTTTCGGCTCGCGTAAAAAAACTGCGCATCGCAGAACGCTCAAACTCCGCCAGAATGTAACCCTAGCAGTCCAAGCAAGATGCCAAAGTTTCAGCCCGATTCGATAACTTAATCAAAAGTTATCAGTGATTTTCTGAAAATTTCAATGGGAAAATGGCCGCCGACGGAGTTTTCGAACACATGGGGCTTTATGACACCAGAAACCGAAAACGGGCAAAAATGGGCTTCATTTTTCCATTGAAATTTTCAGAAAATCACTGATAACTTTTGATTAAGTTATCGAATTGGGCTGAAACTTTGGCATCTTGCTTGGAACGCTAGGGTTACATTCTGTCGGAGTTTGAGCGTTCTACGATTCGTATTTTTTGTACGCAGGCTGAAAAGTAGGGTTAACTTTTTTCGATCTGACCCTGTAGTTTCTGAAGATGCTACTTCGCTTAGCCAAATAGTTGCGTTATTAAAAACCTTTCTGCGGACCACACCTTAAATCTAAGCGAGATAAAGTCTACTAAATGGAACAGCGCGGAACATAGGACAGAAAGAACAGGACAACACGAGCGCTGACTTACAACTGACTGTTTAATGAGAAGCGAAGAAAGAAGAAGAAATAAGAGGCGAAGGAAGAAGAAGAAATAAACTGAAAATAAGGATTAAAACAAAATACTTGCAATGAAAATAACTAAAAGCAAAACAAAAACAAAAGTGAAGAAAAGAAAATAACTTTTTAGAAAAAGCAAGGTTCATTAAGTGCTCTCGAGATATGCGATTTCCTTCCTCAACAGGGTCACGGAAGGCATGCTGACTGCGCTTGTGTCTTTCTTAATGATGGAGAACGCTTCGATGATCTCGCGCGTGCGACAGTCTCTATGGTGTTTGATAATCTCGCATCTGTCAAATGCTGGGACGCAGGCACACGCTGCACAATGCCTGGCTAGGTTGCTGCCAGTGGTCGTTCCCAAAGAGGCGCGGTGTTCTCTCAGACGATCGTTGATGCACCGCCCGGTCTGGCCAACGTACGACCGACCGCACGATAGCGGAACGTCGTACACGACGCCTTCGACACACTCGACGAAAGGATTTGCATGGATCTTCTGGCATTGCCTGATGGAGGTGGCAGAGGGGTTGGTGGAGTTTACTTTTTTGCACAGACGACCCAGTTTGTTAGGTGCAGAGAAAAGTACCTGAACGCCTGCCTTGGCTCCAACCTTTTTCAGGTTGTGGGACAGGCCATGGATGTAGGGTATGACTGTCCAAGGAGATCTCTTGCGTGTATCTTGAGGCTTGCTAGTGGAGCGACGCGACTCAAGAAGGAGCTTTTCTGCCAGGCTACTCAGCAGAGGTTGCGGGAAGCCTGCGGACAGCAGTCTGACCACTTGGGCGTTGAAGCCTCTCTCAACCTGGTGATGGCAAGATCTTTGCGTGGCATTTTTCATAGCCGCTAGCGCTATTCCTCGCTTCACAAGCTTGGAGTGAGCGGACGAGAACGGCAAGAGCGCCTTTTGCGAACGAGGGGAATACCTCCAACATACGTGCTCCGCTCCAAACACCAGGATCAGGTCTAGGAACCGCAACTGATTGTCTTCGGTCAGTTCCTTGGTGAGAGTGAAAACACGGAGGTTCGACTTGAAAATTTCAAAGATGTTTTCAACTTGCCGGTGGGTGTCAGCTCCAGAGGTTTGGAACAGCACCAAGAAATCATCGACATACCGGAACACTCTAGCTACTTTGAAGTCCCGCAGAGATATTTCGAGCAGTCTGTCATAGTAGGCCAACAGCAGATCGCTGAGGACTGGCGCAAGGCACGATCCTATGCAAACACCCTTGCGTTGTATATAAAACTGGTCGCAGTACACCACTGATGTAGAGCGCAGATAAAAAAGGAGGAGATCTAGAAAGTCGGCGACACTGACGCCGCATGAGTTCTGAAACTTTATAGTTCCAAACCTGTCGATGCAGTCACTCACGACCTCGCAGAGAAGGTCGTGGGGCAAAGAGTAATAAAGGTCTTTGACGTCAACTGAACGTTTGACGTCAACTATTTCTTCTTCTTTCTTCGCTTCTCATTAAACAGTCAGTTGTAAGTCAGCGCTCGTGTTGTCCTGTTCTTTCTGTCCTATGTTCCGCGCTGTTCCATTTAGTCATGAACCAACTAGCCCATCAAAGCACACTGCTTGAGATAAAGTCCTTACAGAAAAATTAGAAAGAAACTGATTAAGTTCTTACGGACTTGAGATGGCGAATGGGCGCAACTGATTGCGATGCTTCTTCCTTAAAGCCCATGAGAGATGAAGCCACTGCGTTTTCCACGCTGAATACAAAAACCTGTGCTAACCTCGAACCAGTGATGCAAAGATGCGAAAACCTATAGAAAACCGCTCGAGACGTAACCATTTTATTTTTTTTTTTTTTACAAACTGACTGACGTGCGCAACGAAACGTGGGCCAAAGAAAAGGTGATCGCCTTTTGTAAGGAGAAGCTTGGCGTCGCACTTGTGCCCTAAGTTATCGAGCCTGCCCACATACTTGGTATTTTCCTCAAAAACAGTGTCACCGAAATTAATTACTGTAAAATTGAATTCTTGCAAAGAAAAATATCTGATCCTGTCCAAAACATTTAAATGGATGGGAACTGGTTTCTCGGCTGAGCGATGACTACCCGATCGATGTCCGTAAAGAAAAAAAAAAAAAAACTTTTCACGTTTGTTTTATCTAAAGAGAGAGAATCCAAGCTTCGACTTACAAGCTGATAATGGGAAATGTGAAGTATATCTACGATAAACAATCTAACCACGTGATTGTTTACCGTATATCTACGATAAACAATCTAACTTAACTTGGATGGATCACATTTTATATTTCGCAATGGCAGAGTAGGGCGAAGGGGAGGAGGAGGTTTGGTAGCTTTCAGTAAATCGCACCGTGTTGATCAATTTATATTGTGCAAAATGTTGAAGCTTTTTATGTTAGAACGAAATTTGATCGATGGATGTCTAAGACACCCTTACCTCCTCGCAAATTATTTGATTTGGTTCGGCCTCTAGTCGTCAAACCTGAAATTCCGACCTGACCCTAAAGCCAACGTAAACAGACTTCAGTTATTTAGTCACCTTACCGTGACGAATATGCCCTCACCCAGTGTCTGCCGAGCCAGGTAAATAGATGGTGAAGACAAAACTCGTCTAACCCTCACCCCCTATTAAAAGAAAAAGAAAGAAAAAACTCTGCTCGAATTAAAATTAAGCACTTAGTATAATCCTACTATACGATGCAGATCCCGGAGTGAAACACTGAGAATGACTTAAAGGTGTACTCCACCGATTTTTTGAGCTACCTCAACTAATTATATTTCCTGACTCCCCGGCCTTTAGCCTTTCCGGTATGCTATTCAGCATCGCGAAATTCATAATAGGTATTGTGAAATCGGCAAATGAAAATGGTGCAAAAACCAATATTCAAACATTCGCGCACTTTTCAGTGCCGTGACGTCAGTGGCAGGCTTGCCAGTCGAGCAAGTAGTCTAAAAATAGAATATTCCAATCATTTGTTCCGTGCTGGAGCGCGGATACGGGAGCGAGCTTCCAAAGCACTCATTTGACACCAAGAAACTGCATCAAATCCGTTGGGAACAACTTCTGTAGTCCAAAAAGTTAACCCCTGCCTTCCACTGACGTCACTTTGTTGTTGTTGCCAGTAGAGACTTTCAGTTTGAAAAACATGGTGAAGACCAAAACTGTAAATTCAATAACTTCGCGAAAAAACAATATTTTGACCTAATGTTTGGGATACTATTTTAGCAATGTTTGTTGGTTAGTTTAGCAAAATTTCAAGCAAATCGGAGACAATGAAAAACCGGTGGAGTACCGCTTTAAAGGGCTCAGAATCATTTCACGCAT